AGGTTGAGTTTCTTGCCCAGCTCCGTCATGGTGTTGTAGATGAACCGTGCCATTCCCTGGCAACGCACGGCCTTGTCAATCTGCTGCTTGAGTGTATGCTTGGAGATGTAGCTCCAGAAGAAGACCGCCGAAAGGCCATTCCTGGAGCCGGCAAAGGTGGTGTCTGGAGTGCCAGTGTAGATCGGATTGCTCGGTGGGTTGATTTGGTACCTGGAAGAGCCACAACTTTCGTCAACGTTTTTCATCAGGTGGCGTAAGAACATTCACCTTCTCTTGGACATGAAAAGTCCGCATGGAATGGGCGCACCCATCCACTTGTGCCCGCTCATTGCGATGGAATGCACGGCTTCCAGGCTGAAATCAAACTCGGGAGCGACTTCCACAGCGCCACCATCCTCAAACTTGCAGCCCTCTTCCGCGGCCATCTTCAGATACGGAATGTAAGCAGCACCGAGTGCGCCATCGACGTGGATCCAAAATCCCGTCCGTACACTCTCCTCCCCGCCGGCGTCGATGACCCGCTTGTCGTGGCCGTAGAACTGGAAGATGGGCATGAGCGCGGCCATGGCTTTGACGACGCTATCATAGGCGCCCTTGAAAGTGGTGCCGTAGTTGAGGTTGACGAAGATGGGGTGGCCCCTCCGTGCAAAGAAGAGCACTAGCTCCGCGAGAGACTCGGTGCGGATGGTTCCATCCTCGGGGCCCTCCTCGTGCGAGGGGACCTCGTCCGGCCACTTCCCGTCTTCGGTGATCGGGCACATCCCGGGGTACTTCTCCTCGCCCACCACTCCGAAAGTGGGGATGCCGATGAGCCGGGTCGCCTTTGTGAACGAGTAGTGCGTGTCCTCCGAATAGAACGCAACCGGCGAGAAGTAGTTCTCACAAAACTCGTCGCAGCATTCTGGGAATGGAGCTGCGCTCCTTGCCTGGCTCGGGACGGGCTTGGCATTTGGAGGCACGGCTGCTTGGCGATAGACAAGCCGCGGAGCCGCCGCCTTCTTTGTGTCTCCGCCGGATTCCATGAGGAGGATTTTGCCACCGAGGTAGTCCCGGGCATTCCACAGAGCGTACATGTTGCCTTCGGTGGATCCCATGGTGAGGAGGAATCCCCAGTAGCTGTTACCTTCCTCATCACCCAGGAGGGAAGACTTATGAGGCCAGTTCGCGTTCCACAGCGATGCGTAGTAGTCGAGCACGGCGCGCTCCATGAACTTGGTGTTGGTGGTGCAATTGCCCTCGACAAATGGGTCCCCAATGTTGTTCAGCTGGGATCGAAGTAACACACACAAAAAACATTTGATAACAATGACCATGATCTATCTACTTACGTGCACGTTGAGGAAGTCATTCAGTTCGTCGAAGCTCATCTTCTGGTTGGCCTGGAAGCCCATGAAATGGGACTGCTGCTGCTTGAGATAGTCGAGCGACTTGTTAAGGGCCTCCTTGCGGGCTTGCAGATGGTCGGGCGGAGGCTTTTGGAGCTTGTTGTCCTTCAAGCTCGACGTAAGATCGAAGTTGACACCCTCGAGAGCTTTGGGAAGTGCAGGATAGACATAATCGTTAGTGGTGGGAGAGGAAACGCGCTGCGCGGGAACTAGATCACTCATGGAGCTCGCCATATTGATGGATGGATGGATTGATCAAGAACCCGATGCTAAGAGAGAAGAAAGACTAGTGTGTGCTCAATACTGGTTGTGGAAACGCTTTATATGCAAGAGTAGCGTAACAAAATTTCTATCTTGAAGGGAATCAGATGAGTACAGGATTGGGACCTCTTTGATGCAAGCGATGGAAGAATACAAAATCGTAAGGTGTCACTGTATATATTCAGATTGGTATTTTTATAGATTATATGCAACTTACAACACTATATTATGTGCATGAAGAGGTTTTGCAAATGTATTTGATGTTGCAAGGATTACTACAAAATTTGCATTGAAAAATAGCCTTGCACAGAAAATGCAATCTATTATGTTGCAAAAGATCGTCATGTTATAGTGGATCCCATGGTGAGGAGGAATCCACTGTTCCCTTCCTCGTCACCCAGGAGGTCCGATTTGTGAGGCCAGTTCCCGTTCCACAATTTGAGCGGTGGTGGTGGTGCTATTGCTTTCCGCAATGCATAGTAACCACGTCGAAGTTCGTCGAAGGCCATCTTATGAAGTGGGACTGCTGCTGCGACTCTCGATGGATGGAGAAAGAACTTGTGCTGAGCATGGTTATGGAAACTTGGGGACGTTTATATCCAAGAGTAGCAAAGTAGAAGCTTTTGTTCAAATGTCTCGCTCACGGTCACAGGTGTAATTGTACTGAAAAAAGTTACAAAATTGTAAAGAACCGTATAGACTGGCAATTGAACAAAACTACAAAATTGTAAAGGTGACCGTAACTATAATTGTACTGAGCAAAACTGAACAAACTACAAATTGTAAAGGTGACCGTAACTGTATAATTGTACTACAAAACTCTAAAGGTGACAGTAGACTGCAGCTACAATATTCAAAAAATTGATCACATGTAACTTCACGTATTTAGAGAATGATCAAAATAAAAGAAAAGAGAAGCCCCACGGCTTGAAGATCCTTCCAACTCCACCACTGTTCTTGGCCCACGCTTTCCAAAAGATCGCGAGCTCTTGATTTTACATTGTCCCCATAAAAACACTAGATTTCTAATTCCTTTCACTGATACTTCTGCTTCTTTCTTCTCGGGGCACCATGATGCTCAGGTTGCTCGCGTTTGAAGAGCTTTTCGTAGTCTTCCTTGTGAGCATGGCTCGTTTGCTGAGATTGTCTCCATTTGTCTGGAGCCTTCTCATATCTACACGGAAAGGCAAAAGATGAAACTATCTAGAGTCTATATTGGGCAACTTACTTCGCAACGTTTAACCTGCCCAGAATATAGGGACCGTGCCTGGACTTTGAGAGATCATTTTGCACGCCAATCAGCTCCATTACAATGGATTCTTTGAGCTTGAGATTTGCTGCCTCGAAGCACTTTGTTACGATGTAGTGAGCCTTTGTATCCGTGGCCAGCACTGCAAAATGATCTTTCAATCTATGTAACATAGAATTAGTTCCGATTTTTTTTAGAGAATTACCGTACCTCTCTATCACAGCGTGCTTTTGTTTTGGCGATGCAGGAGATTTGAGAAACGCTTCCACAACGTGGCATCCAGCTTTATCTTTTATGGCTTCCAGAATCTGTGTCATTTCAAGTACTGAGAAGCTTTTGTAGTATTGCTGACTGCAGTCCTACACAAAGAACTATACATGGTTAAGGATATGCACATATAAACATCATTAAACCTGAGAAAAAGTGAACAAAATCTGTAGCATTACGCATCCCAGAATGGACATTTTCCTTCCTGACTTCCCATCCGAGTCGTGTCCTTCTAAGTGAAGCAAGCGCAGGACAAGAGTATCACGAGAGGCACATTTCGGACAGATGACAGTAGCAACCAATCGGCTTATCTACAAATTTAAAGCCAAAAATGTTAGAAAGTTTCATAAGTGTGTTTACGTGCCTCATGCTGGCTGGTACTCATACGGCTACATACTCCCAGCAAGCTCACAATGACACCAGCCCTTTTCTTCTTTATTAACTCGGTAAAATCCTTTCCTAACTCGTCCAAGAAGAGGCTCACCTGCAACAAAATTATAGTTTCAATAAAAGATAACACAAGTAAAACTTATGCACCTGATCTTCTTGGCGTGCAAAGGCAATCAACGTTTGTAGAGCAAAATTCGAAAATTGGTGCGTTGCTAGCCGCTTCAAATTTCCTTTGAAGATTTCTTCAAGCAATTTTGCGTACACCTCGTTAGATGCCACCTGTAGTATGACCTGCATAACAGCACACACTTAAATAGTTAAAGTTTTTATCTGGACAACAAAACAATAAAGTCTGATGCTTCTTTAAACTCTGACAAATTTACCTCCATCAAATGACTACCGTTTTGATTCTCCATCAACTCCAAAATGCGTTCCAACACTTTAGGCGAAATCATTTCTGTTTGATCAAAACCTAAGAGTGTTGCTATGGCTGAAGACGTATCACTTCCAGTTCCATGGAGCGCCTTGAGAATGGTCTGCATAACATAGCTTATAACAGAGCTCAAAAAAATAATATGCAAAGTTGTTCTCACCTGAAATACGAGACTCGAAAATTGGTCCATTCTTCTCTCAGACATTGAGCTTTTGCATGCTACTAGAATCTCACTGGTAAGTTGCTTGAGAATTCTCGGGAAGCCTGCATGGATGCATTCGCATGTTTTCGCCATGGAATCCATTCGTCCTAGTTTCCTCGACAAGCCATCTTTTCCCTCTGTTTCCACTAATCCGGCTGCAAGAAGAGTGAACTTTCGCAAGACATGCGAGCCATATTTGTTTCCCATAACCTCAAGAGCACTTCCTTGCAGTACCTATAATGAGAACGATGTAGAAAGAACACAATAACGCATGGAAGTACCTCGGAGATCCTGGCCACCGCACTCTCGATCGAGGAAATCAGTCCCGCATCTCCACCATTTTGCTGCAAAATCTCGGACAAGCTCCCAAGCATCATCTCAGCAACGTGAGAAGCCGAGGGATCCATTGCCATGCTCGCGAAATCTGCCGTGCACTGCCCGAGAAACGATAGCAACCGAGCAGCATCGAAGGACTGGATGAGCTTCTCAAGCGCTCTACCGCAAGAAGGATGCGAGGCGAGCCGCAATTCCTTGCCGCGGGCCTCTTCCAGAGCGCTGGCGCACAATGCCTCCCTCTCCTTGTCATCGGCAATCGTTTCCAGCAGCGCCAAGACCTCGGAGAAATATTTCTGCGTCTCGGCATCGATCTGGCCTCTAAGAGAAAAATGTTTCAGCCGGGATTTCAGCGTTCTCTCCTTACCGCGATGGCATCGGTCCAAGAGCATGGCCGACAGGATCACCGGCGAGCTGCGGCTGCCGCTGTCGCGGCTTGCGTCGTCTCTTTCCCTCGCCCATCGGCGGAAGAACCCTAAATTTCCAAGGGCTTAAAGGTTTAGCACTAAATTCTTTCACTAAACAGGCCGTGTGCTTCCAGCAATACGATTCGAGGGAGTGAAGAGCTTGCTCGCGACTCGGACAACGTCGTCCCTGGTGACCGACTCGATCTCTCGAGTTTCCTCAAGAACACGGTTCCAAGACCCCGCTGTAGCTTCGTAAGTGCTGAGAATCCTCGCCATGGAGGAATTGCTTCCCAGCGCTTCCAGCAAGCTCGCTCGCGTCGACTTCCGGATTGGAACCAGCTCGCCCTCCTCGACCCCTTGGCGAACCAGGTCCTGGAGCTGGTCGTGAACGAGGCCGGCTAGCTTCTCGGTGCTGCTCGATCCGGGCGTTGGAGAAGCATAGAGCATCATCAAGCACGGGAACTTGTCGCCTGGAAAGCTCGAGAGGCACTCCGCCGAGAGGACCCTGCTGGGAGCAATGAGCCGTTTGTAGAGCCTGGAGACTCGGCCGCCGGCGAGGACGTCGCTGATCACCGAGAGAACTGGATCATCCGAAGACCACGAAGCTGGCCTGTAGTAGCCTTCCATGTAGAGAGGCTGTGCCGGTGAAGACATCCTCAAGATCTCTCCCGGAGGAGGCTTGGAAGCAGCAAAATCGTCCCAACCATCTTGGGTCCTCCAGAGCTCGGAATAACTTCTCGGTGACGAGGACGTTGGCGATGCGCAAGGAGTTTTCCAGCTGCCGAAGTAGCGAGTGGCTAGCTTCTCAACCTCGACTGGATTCACGTCGCCAACCACGGCACAAGTGAGCTTGCAAGGAGTGTAGTTTTTGGTGAAGAAGTCGGTCACTTCTCTGCGGCCGATCTTCTCAAAGTCACTCGGGTAGCCGATGATGGGCCGGCCGTAAGCTTGGCCTGGGAATGCGGCCTCGGTGAATGCCTCGGTGAAGCGACCATACGGAGAATTCTCCACTCTCAGGCGCCTCTCTTCCTTCACCACTTCCTTCTCGGCGTACAAATCTCTGAAAACCGGCGCCATGAATCGTCCACTCTCGAGCGCCATCCAGAGCTCCAGCTTGTTGGCTGGCAGCGAAACGAAATACTCGGTGGAGTCCTGCGAGGTCTGAGCGTTGAGGCCCACTCCGCCTTGCCTCTCGATCAAAGACCCATACTGGCTGGCGGCAGAGAACTTTGCTGCTTGTTCTTGAGCTCTTGCAAATTCTTCCACCAGCTTCGCCACGAGCTTGGAATTTTTGGCCACCTTGGCATCCCTGAGAGCGTAAAAGATCTCGTCCAGCTGATCCAGTGCTTCCGATTCACGCTCGAAACCTCGGCTTCCAATCAGCCTCGTCCCCTTGAATGCTAGATGCTCGAGAAGATGAGCAATCCCAGTCATTCCAGTGGATTCATCCGCCGCTCCAACGTCGGCATAGGTGTGGCAAGCGACAATTGGAGCATTGTGACGCTCCAGGACGATCCATTTCATCCCATTCCCGAGCTGGAATGTAGAAACCCTACTTTGCAACCTGTCGATCGCATTCTGGGATTGCCTCGTCGAATCCCTCTCCTGGCCCGTCTGGATCAAAGCTCTTGCTGGATTGGCGACTGTTGCCACTGCCGTCGCGACGAGTGGCGCAGCTAGCGCCGCCCTTCTTGTTGTCGTCAAATCTAAGCATTCTTTGAGAGGAATTGGACTCACAGATCTCTGCTGCTCTGGCTGGGGATTCAGCTGGCATTGGATGGACGATTTCCTGCGGGATTCACGCTGATGCCGCTGCCGCCCCTTGTGGATTGTGTACGCTACACTGAAAGACCTCTCCAACGATCCTGGAACAGGCATCTTAGGGCTGGAATATCTTTGGATCGATGACCCCGGTAAATCATGAAAGTAACTTTCTCCTTCGTACGTTCTAGGGCAGCAGTCACTGTCAGGGAACTTTTCAAATATTTTCCCGCTTAGGTTTAGTCCACTCGCTAGCAGACACGTGTCATTTACTGACAGGTTTTCAATCCAGATGCGTGATTACCCATGCAGTGTTTTAACTCCTAGGTAACGAGCTAGTACCATTCCTGGGAGCTTTTTCGTTCGCCCGTCGTGCTTCTAGGGTTCACGAATGTGAGATCACGGCGCGGTCGATCGATCAGGTTTGTGAATCCTGGCGCCGTGAATCGATGCAGAGAATCTTTTCTTTCTTGCAAGCGCAGTGGATTCGACAATGGGACGGTATCGGATCAGCTCCTTCGTGATCACTTGGATAAACTTGATCACTCTGGTATGTGGCGCGATCGGCATTGGGAAGTATTTTCGATCTGATGTCACAGATTGCGTCACTGGCGATTTTGTCTTTCGGGATTTTCCTGGCTGCCAAGCATGGGGATTGCGAGAAGTTTTTCACGGCTCCTGTTCTCGTCATTGGAGCGTTCTCTTTGATCCTGTAAGACCTTTTCCTCATGGAATAGCCATGGAATAAATGTGCGAATTAATGTTCTTCCTGGGTGTTACAGCTCACTCGTTGGCTGTGTTGGAGCTTGGAGGGACAACGTTTGCCTCTTGTGGACTGTATCCTTCCTTTTCTTTTTCTATCTTCAATTTCTTTTCTCCTTGACATTGCAACAGTACCTGACTGTTTTGTTCCTCCTGATCGCTGGAGTTGCCGTTTTCACTGTTTTTGCGTAAGTTGCAAATGCTGATTGAGCTTGATAATCAAGCTTGCTGTTCCTCCAGGTTCGTTGTGACAAGCAAAGGCGCTGGACATGCTATCAGTGGTCAAGCGTAAGAGATTTTACTTTTCAAGTAGTCAGAATAAGGACATGTCATGCTTGAATTGTCGTTTCCAGATTCAAGGAGTACAGGCTCGGAGACTATTCCCACTGGATCCAGAAACAGGTTTAAAACTCTTTTCCTTGTGACGTTTTTTATCAATTTATTTTGTCAGACGAATGACCCGGCGAGGTGGAAGCATCTCAAGAGCTGTTTTGTGCAAACTAGCTTATGCAACGAGCTCCCTAAGAAGTATCATGTATGTAAGCATTTATTCGTTTTCTCTTGGACAATTCTCCGTGATTTTATGTTGTCAGACCATCAGGAGCATGAGGAACGGCAAGCTGAGCTCGATCGAGTCAGGCTGCTGCAGGCCACCATCTGAGTTGAGAGAAAACTCCATAATTCCAGGACTAATCTCTTGTTTTGCAGGTGTGGCTTTGCGATGAAGAACTCAACGTTCTACGACCTCACATCTCGGATACGAAGCTCGAACAAGGACTGCAGAACGTATAAGAACGACCGCGAGACCAAATGCTACAACTGCGATTCTTGCAGGTAAGCATTATCCGCTACCTACTTTGTGTGTGAAGTCGCCTGTCGTCTTATGGTTGGATTGTTTTCTTGCTTGAAAAAGAGCTGGAGTGGCGGAGTACTTAAAGAAGAAATGGCGCCGCATGTCAACCTTCAACGTTGTCCTCTTCGTCATCCTGGTACCGGGGAAAAAAATGAGAAGAAGAAATGCGATTCTATTCCTTACGTCATCGATGACTCACGCTGTTCTCTTGCAGATTGTCGTCTACTCGGTTGGCTGCTGCGCCAGGCGTAGCGCATCCCGATCGCAGTACTACAAAATCTACTAGCGCAGGAAGATCGCTCGGGCCTTCGGGCCGAAGGAAGGCTGTGAAAATTTCGTTGCAAAAACAGGAGGTCGCGTCTCCCAGGTTCGCTGCGAGCCACCATTTTAGATGAAGTTTTCTTTTGATCCATTCAAGCGGCCGTGCGTCCTACGGGAAAGTGACCACATGCCAGTTTCTCGTACGGACACGTTGTTACGAAAAGCAAGCAAGAGGAAGGAGGGTGCTGCTCTTTTTTAGCGGCGGCTATGGATATGGAATCGCTAGATTCGTTGATGATCCGGGTGGATGCGCTAGTGACGAGCATGGTGATGGGCTCTTTGAGTGATCAGAAGGACATGGTACACACGCTGCGGATTCTATCCAAGCGCGACGACGATCACAGGCTATGCATCGGCGACGCGGGCGCAATCCCCCATCTCGTCCGCCTTCTCTCCTCGCCCGACCCGGCCGTGCAAGAGGACGCCATCACTTGCCTCCTCAACACCTCCATCGCGCACGCCAACAAGGGGCGCATCGTGGAGACGCGCGGCGCGATCGATCGCATCGCCGACACGGTGCGCTGCGGCGCGCGGGAGGAATCGCGGCAGAACGCCGCCACGACGCTCTTCAGCGTGCTCATGGTCGAGGAGTACAGGAATCCAATCGGCGAGAAGGAGGGCGTGATGACGGCGCTGCTGGAGCTCCTCCAGCACGAGTCGCCGCGGTCCAGGAAGGACGCGATCAAGGCCCTCTTCCACCTCTCCCTCTCGCCGCTAAACAAGTCGAGGATCATCCGCAAAGGTACTCTCGAGATCTTGCTGGCCATGGTGGAGCGTAGGGTTAGAATCCCAAAGAGGGACGACAGTGGCAACGTCGACAACGCCGCCGCCGACGCTCTCGCGCTGCTCACGCAGCTCGCCTCCTGCGACGAGGGCGTGGCGGCGCTGAGCAAGCCCAAGATCCTGGCCCTCTTGGTGGAGCTCCTCGAGCCCGGGGAGTCGTCGCGGTGCCGGGAGCACGCCAGCGCCGCGCTGCTCGCGCTGTGTCAAACGGGCGGCGACGCCGTCGTCGAGAAGCTCATCGAGTTCGATGTGTGCGTCTCGGCGCTGTGTAGCTTGCTCTCGGCCGGAACGCAGCGGGCAAAGTCCAAGGCTGGAGCACTCTTGCAACTATTGATGGTGAACGAAAGGAGTTGACATGGAAAGGAAAGATACAACCTCGAGGGACTACCATTTTTTTTTCTTCTTCCGGTTAACTGGGAGGCTGGCGGCTTCTTGCTTTCACAAAATATCATACACTCCGGTCGACTCCTATCGGCCTCGGCCTCGGCCCCGGCCCCGACCTCGGCCCCGTCCTCGGCCAGCCGGTTTGCCTGGAAGGAAGAAAAGCAGCACAAATTTAGAAGCAAGCACGAAGAACAAGGATGATCATACCCGCCGCTGGTTTCTTCTGCTTCACTCTGGGCGTATCGTCCACGAGCAGCGTCTCGAGATTCAAGCTGTCGGGTAGAATGTAGTAGCGGATGTTGTTCCCTCGGATGCTGAGATGATCCATTGTGACGGGGTTCTTCCCTTTCAACACCAGCTTCACGGCTTTGAGATGGGTGTTCATGCTGATATCCACGCCTACACACCAGAGAAAAAGGGAAACTTATCAGAGAAAACAATCGCTAGAAACTAGCCTAGAGATCAAACCTGTGATTGTTCCATTCACAATAGTCCCATTCTTGAGCTCGATGGATACTGTCTCGTTGTTTAGCTTCATCAGAAATCTGGGAGAAGCGAGAAATCAGACTGTCAGTGCGCGAGAACCCTAAACCCTGTGGAAGAGAAAGAGGAGAGGCGATGGAGATGCGCCGACGTACCTCACGAGCTTCATCTCGGCGGCGTCTCCTCGCTCGCAAAGCCGCCTTCTACACTGGGAGTTCTTGCCGCGCACAAAAACCCTAACCTAGACCAAACTAAAACCCACACTGCCACTCGCCCTAATGTGTGGATGCGCGGGAGGGCCGCCGATGGATCGCATCTCCTCGTCTCCTGGCTGCGGCACCTCGGTGATGCCAGGGATCTTGGCGAAGGCAGGAAGCTCCACGCGCATTTTGCCGCGACGGGGATGGATCGCGGAACGATTTTGGGAAATTTGCTCGTCCGGATGTATGGGAGCTGCGGCCAGGTGGAGAAATCGCTTGCGGCATTTGCAAGGATCCACAGGAAGAATGTCTTCTCGTGGACGCTCTTGTGTGGAGCGTATGCCGAGAACGGGCATTTGGATAGATCCAAGATCGTATTCCAGAGAATGCCTCAGAGGGATATGGTTTCCTGTACCGCCATGATAGGAATCTACAGCCAGGATGGATTCTTGGTCGATGCGAGGCGCGTCTTCGATGAGATGCCGGAGAAGAATCTAGTTCCGTGGAACGCTCTCGTGACGGCTCATGCCGCGGCTGGAATGTTGAAAGATGCGAGAAGAGTGTTTGAGGGGATGCCGGGGTGGAACTTGGTTACTTGCAATTCGATGCTGCAAGGCTACGCGCATCATGGAGAGGCCTGGGATTTTTTTCACAGACTGCCAGTGAAGGATTTGATATCTTGGAACTTGGTGCTTCAGGCTTCCTCGGCTCGCGGAAGCCTGGAAGAAACGAAAGGAGTGTTTGATCGGATGGCAGAGTGGGATAGAGCTTCCTGGATCGCGATGGTCACCTCTTACGCTCAGTCGGGGAAGATCGATGCTGCGAGAGAAATCTTTGAAGACATGCCCGAGCACAGCGTTGCTTCGTGCACTGCAATGCTGCTGGCGTATGCTGAAGGTGGCGATGCCGAAGAAGCAAAAGAAATCTTTGACAGTGTCACTCAGCACGACGTCATGTCTTGGAACGCGATGATAGTGGCTTATGCTCAGAACCGGGCTCTGGATGAAGCGAGGAGTGTGTTCGACAAAATGCCGAAGAGGAACTTGGTTTCGTGGAACGCCATGGTGCAAACTCACTCTCAAAGCAGCAACATTGAAGAGGCCGAAAACTTGTTCTTGGAGATGAAGGAGAGAGATGTGATCTCCTGGACAGCGATGGTGGTGGCTTACGGCCAGAACGGACAGCTCCAAGAGTCGTGGAGGATGTTTAGCCGGATTCCACGACCAAACATCGTCTCTTGGAACGCAATGCTCAGCGTCTACTCTCTCAACGGGGAGCTGCAAGCTGCTCGGTGCGTGTTCGAGAAAATGCCTCAGCGTAATCTTGTTGCTTGGACGACAATGATCACAAGCTATGCACGGAGCGAAGAATTGGACAACGCGAGGAAGGTGTTTGATTCAATGCCAGAGCAAGATACAGTTTCATGGACTTCCATGATCGCAACCTATGCTGAAAGTGGTCACGCAGAAATTGCTCTTCGGCTGTTCAAGCTGATGGATCTGGAAGGTTTCCGAGCGGACAAGGTCTCCTACACCAGCGTTTTACAGGCATGTTCAAGCCTTGTGGCACCTCGAGAAGGCAAACTTATCCATGCAAGCATCGTCCAAGGCGGGGTTGTCTCGGAGATTTCAGTTGGCACGGCTCTGATCAACATGTATGGAAAGTGTGGCCTTTTGATGGAGGCGAGGACGATGCTCGAGAAAATGCCGAGGCACGATATAGGTTCCTGGACGGCCACCATCGTGGCTTTCGCGCAAAACGGCTGTGCGGCTGGTGCCATCGAGCTCTTCCAAAACTTGAACCTCGGAGGCTTGGTTCCGGACTGGATCGTCGTCGTAAGTGTTTTGTGCGCTTGCAGCCATGGAGGAATGCTTACTGATGCTTGGTTTTTCTTCACCTCAGCACAGGAGGACTATGCCATCGTTCCACCTTACGATCTCTACCTTTGCATGATCGGGCTTCTTGGCAGAGCTGGACAGCTGGAGCAAGCGGAAGAGCTGATCGTCGCCATGCCTTTCGACCCGGACGTGGTTGCATGGATGATCTTGCTGAGCGCATGCCGGAGCATCGGAGACTCGAGACGAGGAGCTGTTGCTGCCGAGCGAGTGTTTTCTCTGGAACCGGAGAATGCGTCGGCTTATCTTCTTCTGTCGAACACCCATGCTGCTGCTGGGAACTGGGACGATGCGACAAACGTGAGGAGGATCATGAGCCAGAGAGGAATCAAGAAGAGACCAGGCTGGAGCTACATGGATTTTTTTCTCAGCGGCCGGGAATTTCTATCTTGAGGTACACACTTCCTTTTTACCTTTTTTTCTTTCTTTATTCCTGACGAGATGCTACAGGATCGAAAATCCTGCAGAGATTTTCGTCACTCTGCCGCTGCAACGATCTGGTGCACTCTTTCTAAACGTGAGCGATTTTTCTTTTCCTTTGTTGTGCGGCCTGACTCACTTTGATATTTTGTCAACGAGAAGGCGAAAAGAATCGACTCCAAAGGTGAAAATAATCTAGGAATTCTTCTAATGGACTCGCTGCTGACTGTTTCATCTTGCTTTTTCTCGCGAGAAGAGTCTACTTTATTCACTGCTCCCACTGAGGTAAAGGGCTGGCCCCGCTCTATAATATCACTCTCTGTACGTCGGTCATGTCACTCTTTTTGTGGCCTTCCAGAACATCGTCTGATACGACACTAATCAAACTCCCCAGAACGGAGGAACGGATGAAAAGGCTTATTTTCCACGATCGCATTGCCAACTTTTCGATCTCGCTTCGGTTGATCGATCCGAGTTCGTCGCGAACATCTTGATAGCTGGTACGGTACGATACGATCGATGTCACAAACTTATCTTGCTTTCTTCCAGATTTCTAGTCGGGGAAGCCACGCTTCTCGAGTAGAGTCTCAAACCGCTTGCACGACTCGGCTCTCATCTCGGTGGACGTCTCCATATCCGGGGCCGGGAAGTAGTCCGCGCGGAGCTGGACGTCGCGCAAGTTATAGATCTTGAGCAGCATCATGAAGAGGTGCTCGTACGCGGTGCCATGCACGAAGAGCTTGCGGAGACCATGGCACTGCGAGATCAGTCCCACTCCCGGCAGCGTCATCCCGCGATAGTTCACGTCCTTGTCCGAGGGAGGGAAGTAGTCGAGCTCCTGGAGGCCGGGCAGTGACTGGATCCCCTGGAGGTAGAAGCGCTCCCAGATGCTGAGATCGCGGTTGCCGCCGGGGGCACTGAGCGCGTAGCCCACCGCCTCGCTGAGATCCAGGCGGAGGCTCGCCAGCGATGGGAAGCGCGCGAAGGAGCGCAGCCCAAACTCGCGAGCTTGCGGCTTGGCGAAGAGGCGGCAGTCGCCCTCCACCCGGATGCTGAGCTCGCGGAGGAGCGGGCAGTGGGAGATGAGATTCATCTGGACGAGCGGGCTGATGAGATGCGCTGCCGAGATCCACAGCGAGAGGTGGTGGAGCTTCTTCCAGGCGAGATTTCCGAAGAGATCCAGCGCTTGATCTTGCTCTTGCTCTTGCTCAGCCCCTCCTTGTTCTTCTTCTTCCAGGTCCGCATCCCACACGCAATCGACGTGGAGGTGCTGGAGCGTGGATCGCACCGGAGCTAGCGCGCGGAGGAGATTGCGCGTGGACAGCGTCGGGCAGCACTCGATCTCCACGCGGGTGAGACTCCGGCGGAGAATCGAGACGCACGAGGAGAGGCCAGCCGGGGTGACGAGCGGGCAGCGGCGGAGGCCCAGCCAGGAGATCTGTGGGCTGGCGCTGGCGATGGCGCCCAGCGCGGCGTCCGTGAGATCGTCACAGCTCCGGAGCTGGAGGGTCCGCAGCCCGGCGGCGCCGCAGCGCGCGATCCCATTGCTGCCCGAGCACAAGCCCTGGAAGTGGCCGAGGTGGAGCGCGTGGACGCTCTTGGAGCTCTTGGCCAGGGCCTCGAATGCCGGGGCGGAGTCTCTTACCTTGTGGCCTAGCAGCAGCGCGAGATCTTCCAGCAGCGGCAGCGCCTGGAACAGGGACTCCAGCCCCCGGACCGTGACGCTGGCGTCGAGCGCGGGGGCGCCAAACACCGGATCATCGCTGGCGGGATCGCGGCTGGCGGAGAACTGCGTGGAATCCACGAGGTGGAGCACGCGGAGGTGCGGGCAGTAGTCGGCGACCTGGATCAGGCACTCGTCGCTCAAGCAGTCGAGGAACCGCGGATCGAACTCGCACAGCGCGTAGAGCTCCTCGAGGTTGATCCCACACGCGGCGGCGATGGCGAGGAGCTCCGCGGCCTTGAATCCCTCGGGCGAGAGCTTGAGGAGGTTGAGGACGCGGAGATTGGCGGATGGGCTGGCCTGGAGCGCGGGCGCAATGTCCTCGGCCCAGCAGTAGAAGCGCGAGAGGTCGAGATGGGTGAGGCGGGGGCACGAAGAGAGGAGGCCGCGGAGCTCCATGGCGGCGTCGCCGCCATCGCTGCCATCGCCGCCGGCGCCGGTGGGGCGCTGGTGCCATCGAACCAGGCGTACGGTCTCAAGGTCGGGCCAGGAGGCGGCCACGAGCTGGATGTCCGTACCATCGCGGGCGTAGACGGTGAGATCCACGACGCTGGGGAAGGCCCGGTTGAGCCACCGCGCGGTAAGCTGGCCGCACACCGCCGAGTGGGCGGCGTACAGCGTGGTGCCCCAGGGCGAGACGTTGGAGACGTCGAGGTGCCGCACGGCATGGAAGGTGGTGGGCAGCATGTGGAGCTGGGCGGAGCTGCCGCGGAGGCACAGCCGGCGTCGCGTCGCGCGCTCCATTGCGTGCCACTCCTTGCACACGAGTGACGCTGCGTTGCGGCTGCGTGTGTCGGGCACCAGAGCGATTATCGCCGCCAAGATAGAGCCCGGAATGTCGTGCAGCGCCGTGCGCCTCCCTTGCTCGTGATCTTCTTCCTCGCCATGGGTGGTCTTTTGCCGCTTGTTGTTGCTGAACATCCAGAGATCCAATTCGCCACCATCGCCGACTAGATCCTCCTCCCTCGCTCGCGTCCCAATTTGCATCGAGCCATCCCACCTCGAGCAAAAGTCTATCTCCATTTGGATTGAAATCTCTGGCTAGCAATCTACCAAATGTCCTTGCGAGCTATCAATCTATCAAGTATCACTCTCTCAAGTGTGCTTGCGCCCCAAATCCATTCTACACAACACCACCACTTCTTCCATAGCTATCCATCCCAAACTAACACACTGGGATTTTGCACGTGCCCATTTTAAGGTGAGAATCTCCGGTATGCCTAAATTTGTTTTCATCGCGTCAAGTACATAAATCCGGAAGAACTCCACCATTATCTTCAACTCCGGGAGCTCTCGTAAATTCCTCGTCCGGACCCACGAACGCGCTTGGCTCGTACGTTCTAGCGGACTTTTCACTGTAGCCTTTGATGGAGGAGCGCGGAGGAGGGGGCTGCGTCTGGATCTTCTGTAGCAGCAAGCTGGATCTGGTCTCCGGGATGGAGAAGAGTAATGCGGCGCAGATGGAGAGCGAGACTGCCAATCCAATGAGCGTCACTCTCACCCTGCTGAGAGCTGGCTTCACCTGGAAGGAAAACGAAGGCGTCCATTTGAGCCGAGCTTAAAAATTTTTTTTTCCTGTTTTTCGTACCGTGTAAGCGCCAACCAGCCGATCGCGAGCTAAAACTTCCGGGGGTTTGATCCAAGTCTAGAAAATAACGAGCTGTCTCAGTCTCTCTAAGTCTGCACCGAAAATCTCATTTTACATACCTGGCCGTCGTACCACCCAGTCTCCTCGTCTGCAGAAAATAGCGAATTGTGTTTTAGAGAAACAAAGACAACAGTCGCTAGGCAGTACTTACACTCGACTGTAACACTGAACAGACGATCTCCGATGTGTGCCCAGCCAAGGTAGAGTCGTAAAGCTGCTAACGTTGCACCCATGAGACCCCCACTCAAAGCCCCGAGTGTGCACTTGAGCAAGTCGGACTCTGGATTCACGCTGAGTGACGCGACCGGCCATCCCAAGAACACGGTACAGCACGCAGCAATCCCACCAATCTTCATCGAGTAAAGCCAGACGCTCTCCACGGCCCAGGAGAAGTACTGGGATTCCTGTAAGCTGTTGAACTCGTTGATAGGAAGTTGGTCCCATGGCACGGGGCTGTCAATCTCCGAGTTTCCATCTGGAAATGGCGTGCCGAAACGAGGGACTTTCTTCCCGTTGCCATTGAAACCATTGTTGTCCCCGCTGCTGCTCTTCTTCGTCGCACGAACCGCTAGAGCCGCATCTCTTCGTGCTCTCCGGCCACCAAAAAATGCCTCTTTGACAGAGATTCCCGTGAAGAATCGGGGCCGTAGTCGATGGAGAGCAGCCAATTGGAGGGAAGCGACAGTTGCTGGCATCGCGATTAGGTATTGCTGCTTCATGGACGTTACCAGGTGAACGCTCCTGCTGTGGAATCCTTCCCCCCTGACTTCTTCACACACACGGCCATAGCCAGCAAAGATGCATTTTTGCTTCTGCAAAACGAAAGAAAATTAGTCACTGCTGACCCACCACATTCTTGAGACGGCTCCCAACCTTGGAAAGACGCGAAAAATCCTCCCTGATAAGCTGCTTGATGAAGGCTGCTGGTTTTGCGTATCTTTGGAAATAACCTGTTCCGTGCCCCGTAATCTAGATCCTTTGCGTTTGCTAGAAGCCGAAGTTTGGAGTCGCTACAAGATTTGTCGTCTCCACCAAGCCCGATTCCCCGAACAGTGTAGACGACAGAGATCGGTCCGAGTCAATTCAGTTTGGAGCAAAAGTCCGCCAATTCCAGTACTTCGATGCGCGGTTTTTTTGAAGCTTCCTCCCGTTCTGTGGGAGTGTTGTAACCCCAGCTAGCTGCAAACAGATAGACGCAAAACTTTATTTTCGTAATCGACATGTGATTCTCATGCTCACCAAGGTGCAAGTTCCAATTATTCAACACTCGATCATCGATCACATTCAACAAGGTTGAAAGCCTGTCCTCCACAAAACTGGAGCAACGAAACAAAAAGGTTGAGTGCACGTAAAATCGAAACAAAATCACACGTACTGAAGTGTCATTCCTCGGTGCTCTGCCCGGTTCTGGAGTTTCTTCAATACCTCAACCTTAGGACTGGAAGAAAATATATAAACGCACGTCTGAGAAAGAAAGCAGTAAAATACCCGGATCCCAGTCCATATATATTCTCCTCTGGGAAGTCCACTCCTGCCAGCTCCTTGAGTGACATTGTCACAAACCTCGCCTGGAAGAGGGATTCATCACTCAAGACAAGCTGCATAGATAAATACCTCCTTCGTAGTAACGATAAACAGTTTGGACGAGGAGAACTTGATTGCATCCGAGATTCCTGGGTAGAACCTGGAGTCCGTGTGTTAGAAATCTCAAGCCGGAGAAAAAACGTGAAAGCACCTGTTAGTCTTGAGCCATCCGTGTACATCACGCGAGATCCAGGCGTCCCTCACGCTTCCCAGAAGATCTTCCAGCTCCTGCTTGTGGCGTGCTTCTCCAATCTCTTCCATAAACGATCGCTTTATCGACTCGGTCCAAGACTCGAGGATGTTCTCCTCGTCGAGGTGAGACGCAATCTACATTGGAATACGAAAGAACTTTGCTCTAGAACAGCACGAACAAAGACAAAAATAAAAATAAAAATAAAAAATCTTACCGAGGTTCCATTTTCGACTTTGGCCAGCACACGAGCGAGTAGCAAGAAATCGTCACCCGTCTCCACCACTGGTCTTACCTGCGATCCAAATTTCAATGCATGGACTCCCGTCGATTCATCTTACCGTGTGCATTCTCTCGAGAATCTCGGCCTCGCGCTGTGCGTCGACGCGCTTGAAATGCTCTGGCCATCGCTGCTTCGCGGCCTGATGAACTTCACATGAATCAACGACGAAAAAGCACACATTCAATCGATCGGATGATTACAAACCTCCAGGCCAGCGATCGATGCCTCGCCGCAGCTGTCGCATAGCACACCGTCGAAATCCAAGGCGTAGAGATGCTCCGCCATTGCCTAGCTAGACGAAGAACCCTATTTTTCTATTTACTTTGTCAGCTATGGCAGAAGGAGCTCACCTCTACGCTCTGGATTTTGACGGCGTTCTCTGCGACAGCTGCGGAGAGAGCTCCATTTCGGCGCTCAAGGTAGGCGCAAGTCCTGATCGATCGACACGCTCCTCCTCTTGAGATTGTGCTTCCAAGTGTGGTTTCTCTTGCAGGCCGCGAAATTGAGATGGCCGGAGCTTTTCGCGAATGTGAGCGCTGAGACGGATGCATGGATTCTCGACAGCATGCGGACTGTAAGGCGATCGTTTCCTTCGAATCAAACAGGCAGCCATTCTTCCTTTTTTTTCTCTTCTCTTTCCTTTTCCAGGTTAGACCAGTTGTAGAAACTGGCTATGAGAATGTTCTGCTGGTGAGATTGTTGCTGGAGCTCAAGGAACCTCACCGTGGAAAATCCTCGGTAAGAACTCTAGTTGCTGTTTCTACTTTGTTTCTCCAGAGTGAAAATCTATCCACAGGTGGTGAATGGATTGACAGTGGAAGGAGTCTTGGAGAATTGGGAGAAGCTCAAGCCTGTGCTGATGAAGGAATGGGGTGAAGCCAGTAGAGACGAGCTGGTTGAGCTTTTTGGCAAAGTGAGAGACGAATGGATCTCGAAAGACCTCGGGACTTGGATCAGTGCAAACAGGTATGATATTATGATTTTAAGAATCGAGTCACGCACTACTACTTCAGTGACAAAATTCTGCGTTGCAGGTTCTACCCTGGAACAGCTGATTCTTTGAAGTTCGCGACGTCTCAAGTTTTTATTGTTACTACAAAGCAGGTACTCGCCCCAAGAAAGAGTCTTTAGAAATGCAAAACGCTTTTTTCCAGGCTCGTTTCGCTGCAACATTGCTTAAAGAGCTAGGTGGTGTCGATTTTCCTACAGACAAAATATTTGGTCTTGGCACTGGGTATAAAGTTCGAAATCTTTTCTATATTATCTAGCTTCGGTTTTGTTCCAGGCCGAAGGTGGAGGTATTGAAGCAACTCCAAAGTCGTCCAGAGCACCAGGGAATGATTCTCCAGTAAGATCGTGATGCTCTCCTTGTTCTAATGAAAATTATCACCTTTCTTTCCCAGTTTTGTGGAAGACAGGTTGGCCACACTTCATAATGTGATCAAGGACCCCGCTCTTGACAGATGGAACTTGTACCTTGGTATGTCTGCTCGATTTCTTTGGCTAGAAAAGAACTTCCACTCGTTCCAGGTAACTGGGGATACAACACACCGGCGGAACGCGAGGCAGCAGCTGCTATCACTCGCGTCCAAGTTCTAGACCTCCCAGATTTCTGTTCGAAGCTCAAGTAGACAAACACGATTCTTTTGTACACTGAAGGAGCAGCAAAGAGAAATCTTTCTTTACGCAAGGAAGACGGTCTTCCGATAAACGAAGGGAAGTTATTACCATCTTTTTTACACAGCTTCAAAACTCCACTATCGTACAGCCTCTAGCTTCAGTGAAGGCTCGCTCTGCGATGGAAAAACCTGCTGAATCCCGAGTTCTTGGAGTAAGCAGACGCCGGCGAGCACGCGAAGAAATCTCCATCCTGGCTCAGCTTCCTCTGGCTTTGCTGCTTCTCACCGTTGGTGGTGGTGGTGCTGCTGTTGCTGCTATCGAGCGACGATGCCGCAGCCTCCGGCGACAAGGCAGAGCTCCAGTAGATTTCCTGCCTCCGGATGTTCTCTCGAGCAACGCTCCTGAGCCGACTCATGTCACTGGCCGAGCGTTGGACTTTCCATTGGAGCTCCTCGTCATCGCTCTCCGAGTGGATTGCTTCGGGCTTTAGAGCGAAAGACTCCTCCGGCCGACGCTGATGATGGCTTGCGTCCGCTGGTGACATGGACGTCTCGGAAAAATCGAGGGATCCCTTGGAGGACGAGCCCGTCGGAACCGAGAGCGAGTGGAGCTGCTTTCCCAGGGCCATGATAGTTCGTTGGCAGTCGGCTAGCTTTTCAGCGGCTGCCGCAATCTCTCGTTCCTGCGTCCCAAAAAGTTTGTAAGCTTTCGTTCGATCAGAGAAAGAAGGAAAGACGTCACTCTCACTTACTTGCAAACGCCCGGGATCAGAGTTTTCGGAAGCTCCTCCCCTGATACAAAGTTATTAGCGAGTCATTTTCAGAGAAAGCAAACGAACACTTACTGTGAGACGTGCGATTGTACGCTGCTCATTACTTGCTCATGCCGATGTCGTTGCTCTTGGAGCTCGTTCTCTAGAGCCAGAATCTTTTCCTGTAAATGTCCCATCTCTGCGCACGAAGCCCGGACTTTCGATTCCAGCTCGTCTTTCACGTTAGCCATCGCTGCCAGCTGATTCTCGGCCAGTTGCTTGGACTCTTCCATGGACGCAAGCTGCACACGTAAAGTTGACACGAGCTGCTCGGACTCGGACAGCTGCGCCTTGAGCCGCTCGATCCGCTCGTTGGCCGAGCTCAGCTCCTGCTCCATGCTTCCCCTCTCGGCCTTGAGCTTGGCGTTGTCACCTTGCAGCACGATACAGTTGTTGAATTCAGCGTCCCCATCCGACTCGTCCACGTTGCCGGAGCAATCCGTCGTGCTCTCGAACGAAGTCGTTGCCAACCTTTCCATCTCAGTGAAATCGTCCATGAGATCAAAGTTTGACGACTCGAAAAGCTTTTCAGAGTGCAATGAGCCGTCCTTTCCTTTCTTGAACTGTTCCAGCTGAGCTACTAAAGCAGATGCCCAGCTATCGGCAGACGTATTCCCGTTGCTGTTAGCCTTCGCTTTCGTCCCACCAGCTTCCGCTGGTCCCTGTGATCTTTCCAGCTGCTCTTCAACGAGGGATAGCTTGCTCGCAGTTTTCGCACACATGAGCCGCGCCGACTGGAGCTCCTGGTTCTTCTTTGTCAGGGCTTCTTTCAGCATCTTAGTTTCCTCCTCCATAGCCAGCAGTCGCTCCGATAGCGCGTCGTTTTCTTTGTTGTCAGCCTGCCAAGCCTCCTCTCCAGAATCCGCTGCGGCTATGGGAGATGGCACTCTAGCTCCCATGGATTTTGATCTCGAGTTAATGCTCCCGTCAACCTCCAGCCTCATCTGCGCCACAGCAGCCGGACCTGGTAGTTTTTTCCGTACTAGTCCCCTAAGCCTCTGGCACTCAGCTTCTAGCTTGGCAATTTTCTTGACGTTTTCCAGTTGCTGCTTGCTCACTACGTCGGCCATCTTCTTGTTGTAATCCTTCTCGTCGTTGCGTATCTCGACCTCTTTCGTTAGAACCTGGACTTCGTACTTGAGTGCAGCGCAAGCTTTCTCGACCTCTTCCCGTTGGACTTGCGTTACATTGGCTTGTACTTCCGCGCGAGCTTTTGCCTCGGTTAGCTCGGAGATGGCCTTGGCGCGCTCTTGGAGAGACCTGTTCAGCGCATGCTTCTGTGCCTCCGATTCGATAGCCCTGTCGTTTGCAGCCGCAAGCTTGGCCTCCATTTCCTGTCTCACCTTTTCCCACGCCTTGGCCTTCTTAACCAGCGTTTCCTGTAGCTTTTGTTCGTGCTCCTCACGGACGCTTCTCAGCTCGCGCATGCATTCCTTGAGTGCCCCATCCAAGTGCGCCAGCCGGTTCTCCAAAGACACATTTTTCTGCGTTGAGGCGTCCAGCTGCTTCTTCAAGTTGGCCGCCTCGGTCTCAGCTTTTTCCCAACCTGGTACCACGAGAGAATTTTGACATGACTACACTCTGGATGGAAGGAAAGAAGGAAAAAAGAAAGAATAGAGAGCTACCTGAGACTGCTTCTTCAGCCACTTTTGCATGCTGCTTGACCAAGTTATCCTTTGAAGTGATTTCCGTGAGAGCGAGAGACAATTTCTCACTCAAGATCCTGGATTTCTCCTGGCAGTGCTGGAGAGCAACAGCGGGATCATCTACGGGCTTTTCGAGAAAGCTCCTCGTCGCCTGGAAGGGGAAAACCAAACCACCGATAAGAAATGCGCGGAGAAGAAATCACACACAAAGGAGGACCTGCTGGTACTGCTCATCGTGGTACTGATGGCTCCGTGAGGAGATAACAGTCGACGACTCCAAAGGAAGGTCGTGAGTTTTGGATTCCGAGGACTTTTTCTTCCAAGGCCAGCTCCGGCGATCCATTGCACACCCTGCGAACAACCAACATTGCCACTGTAATTCTCGTCATCACGAAATCACGAAATTTGCCCCTACCTCGAATTCGCAAAGCCCTCGAGCTCCCGCCCCTTGCTACTCATACATTCTTCCAGGCTGAGAAGAGGGACGATCAGAAGCGCGGGCGCGCTCCAATCCAATGCCGATAGCCTCGTCGCGATTAGATCGCTGCCGCTGGCGCGCTCACTGCTGCTGCTGCTGGCGCCGCGCTGGCCCTGGCGCTAGCGATGCTGCGCCTCCTCCAGCGGCTGGAAAGCGATCATCCGTGAGGAATCCGAGGCGCTGCCCGTGCTGTGGAAAGGGAGGGTAGGGCACAGGGGGAGCAGGCAAAGCGCCGACTCAAGCGCAGGGATGCCAACACTCAACACAGACTAGACACACGAGAGAAGGATCAAAATAAATCGCCTCCTTCCTTTTTCACTTTGCGCTAAAACGTAGAAAAAGGTAAAACTACGTAGACGACTACATTATGGAGGTATTCTTTCCTTCCCAGACAATACTTTCGGTTTGTTAGCGGGCTTTTCTTTAAATAAACGAACGGCAGATTGAATGCGGTGGAAAAATATTGCCTTGTTAGTTAGCCTTGCTGCTTGCTTCACCTCAACCCCGGGTTAAAAACTTGTGGCGGTAAAACCTTTCCCGCCTTACTCGCTGGCGGACAAGACGGTCGTGGGTTCGAAGCCTGTGCCGTGGAGTTACTGTTCTTTAACTCGACTTGTTTGTGCTCTTGGAACATTTCAAGGAAGCTTGTTTAACAACTTGCGAGAGGAGTGCTTCCAAAGTTTTCGCGAGTTTGATCTTTGTCTCTTTGTCATATAGTTTTTAGATCGCACAATCCAGTTTATCAGCGCACCTATGCTTCTTATTAGCACGATTAGAGATCATCCATGACTGTGCCATGTTCTTGCCCAAACAAGAACGTCGCTTCCCTCTCGTTCGCTTTCTTTCACCGCCTTGACAATGATAAATGGTAGCCCAGCGATAGATCGCTTGCAAGATATCACCACCATCATTCTCATTCCCTTGCAAATAAATGAATGCACGAATGGAGATCGCTGAGACAAGGCCGTAAAGCCACGAAATCGGTAGCTTAACAACTAGAGAAAATTGACCGCAGCCACCATCACTGGATCGATTGATCCGAGATCAAAAGAACCAAATAAGGGGCATGTTTGTTAGCTAACAAATTATCAAGCCAATCGAACGAAAAACCGGCAACGTAACTTACGAGCTACTTCTTGACAGGGACAGTCGACGCTGCATGATCCGCTGAATCTTCTCATCACGTAGCCTGAAGCCAGACACGTACAAAAGACGTGCCTCTAGGCCGCCAACGCTCTTCCTGAGCTTGGACAACTTTCCTGTTCGGCATTCCTGCCTGCACGGATCACACTCTCAAAATGAATTCCAAAAACATACCACTGTTGAGCCATTGACTTAAACCGAAGCTACCGGCAAAGACGAGAATAAACAGTGAGGAAACAAAAATGAAAGCGAAAGCGTCCTGTGCTACGAACTTACAAAGGGAGAGGCAAGTCTAAATTCGAGGTTGGCTGGTCACAGTCGCTTGCATAGTGCTTTGTGCACCAACCGGGCTCGATTTCATACCTGGAAGCCTTTGGCAAGCTCCGAGTTCATACAGTCCAGAGAACATGAGATTCCAGCCTGCTTGTCGCATCCCCTTGCAATCACCTCACACCAAACTTCCAAAAAGTCTCTTGCTTTCCCGCTCGTCTAGTCTCCCATGCTGCTGCCAATCCTGCGAAGTGACTGCTGCGGTTGCTTAGACGATTTAATCTATCCAGTGAGACAGATTTGAGCCAGACGAAATCAGGGTGCTGTCTCCAAAAGTTTACGCATTTTGGTTCTCGAGCTTAAAATTGTGGCAGCTTCCAACGTGTTCTGCGCTCCTGCAAAGAGAAAACTCTTTAGCCTCGGGGAGTGTAGAAACGTATCAGACCTGGAAAACTCTTCTTGTATGGAATCTCCCTACTGGTAGAGCTCCGATCCCAGCGCCTTTACCAGCCAGTGCAAATGAGCTCGGAGCTGTCTGGCCGCCGGATAGCTCAAATCACGAGGTACGCCGACTTTGTCTCGCAGATATGCAGCGGCTTTCGCCACCTCTCTGGAAAAATGCTGAGGAACAGCAGGAGGAGTTGCACTTTCAACTCCGTCAACCAGAGCTTGCGCCACACATCGGAATCCCAAATCCACAGATTCCCGATACTTTTCATCGCTGTTGAGGGCTCGGAGAGCGAAACCGACCACTGCTGCGTTGTTGTCAACAAGAGTCTGTGCTGCCTCCGCTTTATTCCCATTTCCCTCCTCTCGTCCCCACGCTGTCACTTCTGCTTTTAGTGGCAAATCCCAGCTTCCATCTTTCCCATCAACTTTGGCTCTGTATGCCTCGCCAGCCGGGAGTGCTCTGCAAGCTCCTATTTGAGGCTCCAACGTGTGAGTTATAGTGTAGTCATCCGACTTGACGGCCTGATAACTTGGCTTCGCGTCCATGGCATCAAACCAGGCCTGCAGATGAGGCCACCGAGTCTCACCTCGGATCATAACTCCTTGCCAGTAAGGCATGCTGGCAGCGATTCTCTCTAGGAAAGGAGCATAAACAGCGTCCACCAAAGAAAACTGTGGAGGAAACAGCGTTATAATCAGTTTCAAACTTCTACTTCGGTGTGTGAGAGCTTACCGTGTCACCGAGGAAAAATGGGCCACCGAACTTCGCAAGAGCGCCATCAACGTCGTCCATTGCACGTTCGAACTGTCCGGGTTTCGTCCAAAAGCTTCTCAGCCTGCTCAGCCACGCGCCAGCGAGAAGTCGCTCCAGTCTCAGCAAGCCGTCCACGGCGTTCGCTTTGGGAGAACCTTTGGGTGGCAAAAGAGGATGGCGTTCCGGAAAAGCCTCTTCCAGTATCAGCATTATGTCCAGAGACTCTGTCAAAAGCCGGCCTTTGAGCTCTAGAGCTGGAAGCAGTCCAGAAGGTACCTTCTCGAGATACCATGCAGGCTTCGGTCCATAGCAGTTCATGTTTATCTTTTCAACCTTGTAAGGAATCCTCTTTTCTTCAAGCTGCAGCCACACTCTCTGGCAATACGGGCACCAGGACGAGTTGTCCCTGTAGAAAACAACCTGTGCGATGCTTGTATCACCAAAATCCCGCTGTTGAACGTTTGGGAGCCTGGCAGCTGCTGCCGCTGCATTGTATCCCGGCAGTCTCGATACTTTCTCCGACAATTCTTCCCAGCTAGAAACCTCTGCAGTCGAAGCCATGCAATGGAATCTTTTCTTCCGAGATGCAATGCTACCGCTGGCAGAGATGGATCTCCCTATGCAGAAGAAACATAACACATGACAAAAGGAAAGGACATTTAACGGACGAAAGCGAACCTGAGACTGCTGGAGCGCAGCTAGCAAGCGCCATAGCCATGACCAGTCATGAACACACGAACGGGATATGGAATATCCTCGGGTATCGAATAGAAGTGGTATCTTCCAAGGCTTGCTTTGTTCTGCGAGAAGAAAAAAAAAACAACATGAAATCGAAAACAACGAACCGGAAATCCTCGAGTTGCCGGCGGATGATCGAACAACGAACGAGGAATCGAATATCCCCGTGGATCGAATCTCGTGCTCCAACCAGTCGTCGTCGTATGCTCCAAAAATCCCTCTTTTATAAGCCATGGCAGCAGCATTGCGACTCTCTAGGTAAGAGAGCAGGAGAATGGCGACCATGATGCAACAAGGGACGTCCTTGGCGGCGGCTTCGTCTCTGTTCCAGCACAAGGAAATTCGAGCAGCGACTTGTGGGTAAGCCCGAATTTCCGAGAGCTTTGGTGGTGAATTCATTCTAGCGAGCGCATGTTTTACGATGGCGTTGAATCGTTCGCTCGTAGTCCGAGCAGGGTCGAGCTGAGCAGGAGAGTTTCCAGAGCAGCTCGTGGAACCATTTGTTGCGCATCAACGACGACCGTGGAAGTCGAAACCGGAAGAACGGCTTCCATAAGTGCACCTGTGCTCCCCTTCCGAGTTGGACACGGCTTTGACTTGCATCGGCTGGAACCCGGACTGCCCCTCACGATTGGTGGAATAGACATTCCTCACGATCGCGGATGCGAAGCTCACTCCGATGGTAGAGTTGTCATCCTGTTCTTTTAAACCCATGGGTGTTGTTATTTTCGTTGTCTCAAACTTTGAACTGCACAGGTGATGTGTTGCTACACTGCGTTGTGGACGCCATCCTAGGTGCACTTTCGTTGCCGGATATCGGACAGCTCTTCCCGGACACAGATCCCAGATGGCGTGGAGCAGCTTCCTCTGTTTTCGTGAAAGAAGCGGTAAGCCCGTCGTCATTCTGTTTGCCTCCATGTAAACGTAGAGATCTTCAGGTGAAGCGCATGCATGAAGCCGGATACGAGCTGGGAAACCTCGACGCCACCTTGATCCTGCAAAGGCCAAAGTTAAGCCCACACAAAGAAGAAATCCGAGCCAACCTTTGCAGTCTTCTCGGAGTGCACCCGTCTGTAATCAATATCAAGGCCAAAACGCACGAAAAGGTTGACAGCCTCGGTGAGAATCGGAGCATTGCTGCACACACGGTTGTCCTTTTGATGCGAAGATAGACGGCGTGAAACACGTTTTCTGCTGCTACATCTGTCCCTCCCAAAACAAACTTTTACTTCTTTGCTGCTTGTTGTTGCTCCCTTCTTTTGGCTATAAGTTTCATCACTTGACTGGCTGACACAACTCTGTTGCTGGTGCTCACTGACATGGGCATACCGGACCTGGAAAGTCCCGCTGGTGCTGACATTGGCTTATCGTGGTGGTAAATAGTGGATCCTCTTATGAGTGAACCTTTGTTCTTCGACTGTCCCACGTCGCCCGATGACAGCATTGTATGGAATCCAGACGTTGGGTTGTAAACGAAAATAAGTCCGACGTCTCCCTCAGGAGCCAATGGTTCTTCTGGGCGTCGTGTCGCAGTAACAGGAATCGGAACAGCGTGAGCCTCGTGCTTTTCAGCCCAGTTACGAGTCCGGTAATAGTTGAGTTGCTTCTTGGATTTTTCCTGTCATGAACAAGCCCAGTTTGTGCGTCAAAAACTTTTTTGGTCCCAAGCTAAGACTTACCAGCTCTTTGTGAAGCATGTTGACTTTGGAGGAATCGCCGTCCAGCGCAGGAGACTCTGAAGGACTTCCTGTTGCTGGTGTTGCTGGGCTTGAAGTTGGTGTTGTAGTTGGTGTTTCTGGTCTGGCACTAACTTTGTCCGCGACTGTTGGTTTGGGTGTTGGAACTGGAGTGGGTGGCTTCTCAGGCTTCTCGGCAGCCTTAGCCTGGTGTGCACACAACATTTCTAATTTGAATGAATCCAAATAAATCACGCACCTCCAAGTGTGTCGTAGACACGTGTGGTTCATCAGCGAAGTCACGATGATCATCCATCTGAAATTAAAACATGGTCAGAGGAAGATATAAGAAGGATGAAGTTACCAGGGACGATACTGTAATCGAATCAGTTTGAACAGCTTTATCCTTCCTTGCAGGACGTCTAACTCTCTTGTCACTTCCATCATCTCGACTTTCAATAATCTTCGTCTTGTCGTCCTGGATGATCTGTATAAGATTTTTACCCTGGCTTGCAGTTTCACTTCTAGTTGTCGACCTCGAGTCGGGAGTCTGACTTCCAGAGGCAGATAGAGGACTAGGACTACGCCGGTCGTCGTCTCCTTTGCCTAACTTCGGGCTGGGTGACTTCCTTGGGTAGACTTTTGACTGGATCCGAATCGGTGGCTTTGAAGCGGCCCCTTCACCTCCTTCTCGCATCGCTTCGGGACTTCTGCTTTTCCTTGGCTTCTTATTAGGATCTTCTGTGACCTCCCGTGTAGTTTTTTCTGCCTCACTTAAAGCTGAATCAGGTCTTGATGGAGGTAATTTTTGAAGCCCTTCAACGGCATCTGGTCCCAGTAGATTTTTCACTTTCACCATGTCGTGAAGATGTTTGCCGGCACTATTTCCTGCCAGCAAAGAACAAAACTTTTGAGAAGCGGAGCAACGAATATAAGAAACTCTTTACCGGTTGCATTCAGCTGTTGCTCAAGTAGCTGATATCGTTCTTCCTGACAAACCAAAGAAACTCAAAATCAATGGGAAATCAAAGGAAAGCTTCGTACCAAACGTTCAGCAGATTCAAGATTTTGCGACACTGAGTCACCAAGAAGTTCGTAGTCTTCTTCCTGCGAATAAGTAGTAAACAATGCTTAAAGCCCATCCTATCACGGGACTTTCAGAATCAAGTGCATTTACCACTCAAGATATGTCCTTAAGCTGGTGAAGGAGAAACACACCAAGGACCGTAGTGCTGACATAAACTCCTGCGGCATGTTTTGAGATTCCTGCATTAACAGACAGACATAAGAACGCTCTTCTCTGTTACAGCCGAACTTACATCCAGGTCTTCCTTTCTCAAGCTCTGAATTTTGTTATTCAGGAAGTTCTGTCAACAAACATAGTGTCACCAAACGTTTACAAACCGTAGAACCAGATGATGAGAACCTTTTCTTGATACAGATTAGCCAGTCGATTTTGCAAATCTTCGTTCGCAAGCTGTAAAGCGATAGGTGGAGAGGCAGGAAGTCTCCAGTCACTTCCTCCCACGTTTTGCAGCCTCGACTTCATCTGTTCTGTAGACTCGGGCTTTAAACTCTGCCGGGACTCGTACTCTTTGCTCTTTTCTTCAGCCATAGCACCTGGACAGCAGGAATCCTCTCGTAAACACGAATAATAAACAGAGAGCCCACCCAGTTGTTCCATCCAGGACAGCAAGTCCCTCAAATCGATAGCCTGCTCATCAGTGTGCATCGCACCAACCTGGAAAGCACAAAAGAAAAATATAAAAAAGAGTCTCCATGCAGGCTTGAACTTACTAGCTTTCGGGCTTGCTTGACACTGATGCTTGTATGCGACATATACGGTGAATCCGCTTCTTGAGCAGCGGCGGCGGCAGATCCCTGGCCCTGCGATCGAGCTGGAGCTGACGCCGGTGCCTCTCTCGGAGGACATTCACCGAGCGAAAGGTCATGTAGCATTTGCGTTCGCAGACCGATACGGCTCATGGAATCCTTGATGAGAGCAAGGTACTCGTTCGGAGACTTGTCCATAACTCCAGGCTTCTTTTCGGGGCTATCGTCCTCGTCACTACTGCTGCTGGAGCTACCTTGAGCAACTGTGGTATCACTGTCAGCATCGAAGTCGAAAACCAGCCCCTCCAAATCTCCTGTATCCACGCACTCGTCCACCATGTAGCAGACATAACTCCTGCGCGAGCGTTGAGAGCCCGACTTGGAAGACCTCTTCTTTTTCCCATCCAGCAAATCCTCCAGCTGCTTCACAGCCTCCTCGGTGAATTGCTGGTCGTACTTACATCGCACACGACCGCAGCCAGGCACCCAATGCTTGTGGCGCGTGACATCGGTCTTGACACCAGTAAGGGAAGACAGCAAATTCGCTCCTTCCTTCTTCACAGTCGATCCTTTGAACTGAAACGGGCTGGGCGTGGTCTGCGATTTCGCAAAAGTGTCGTGCAGGAAGTTCTTCCCGCCATACGGTAAATCCTGCTCGACAATCCTAGCTTAGCACCGCTCCACTGCTCAAAGGAACACTTACATAGTCATGGATGTCGATGAACGGCAGCGTCGGCACTGGCGCCGAGAAACTGAGGTAGTGAAGATCATCCTTGCCGTAGAGATCCTTCTCGGGCGGGAGAGGAGCTTCGGCCATAGGAACCCTAAATGCGCAGCTGGGCTAAAACCCCGTTGGGCGGGAGATATCAGGAGAAGTGTGACGTGTATAAATCCATGTCATTACGGGAAATCCAGTCTTAGGGTTTACCGTCGCCGGCTATGGGGGAGGCGAAGGCCGCGGCCGCGGTTAAGAAGGTCAATCTCAGCGATCACTTCGCCATCAAGCGCATGCTCGATGAGACTGTGTCCGAGGTAGGAGCTCATGAGAATTTCGCTAGATCTGGGAGCTGAGAGCTGGATCCTCCGTTACCAGGTCATCGGCGACATGGGATTCAAGGAGAATGTGACGGTGAGCAACATGAAGCTGGGCCTTGGCTTTCTAGCCTGCCTCGTTGCTCTGGCAGCGCAGCTCTATCCCAAGAAATTCCCGGAGAACAAGCCAGTTCTACTCGTCTGCATTGCCTTATATCCTCAAATCTTTGTTTTGTTTCCTTTCTTGTTTCCTTGACACAGATCCCACGTATGTTGTCTTGAATCTCGCCATCCAAGCGATCGTCTACTTCAAGGAGAAGAACAACATAGTCGTCACGTATCCGTTCCCGGTACGTCACGATTGTTTTTTTTTTCTTCTTCTTTCTTGCGGGAGAGGACTCTAACTTGAGTTTTGCAGGGCTCGTTTACCAGTACTGGACTAGCAATATCGTCCAAGCTCCCCCGTCACTCGCCAAAGTATACTCTACGCATTGCGAGTGCTGATCCGGGTCACATCTCGGCCCATTCGCCGGTGGAGTTTACCAAGAGCGTTACAAAATGGTATGCTTGTCGTTTGGTTTGTCACGGTTGTATCCAACACAACACACTAATTTTGCTGCCCAGGTTCTCCAGCGAAGGAGTTTTTGCAGAGGCTTTGTTTTGGGAGGATGTCCGAAAGCTAGTAGAAGACTATGACAAAGACAGAAAGGAGATTAGCAAGTCGAAGTAAGTCAAGGCTGTCTTGAACATTGTCTCTTCTAAGTTTCTTAAACCGAAGGTAAAGAATACAGTCCAATCAAGTTGCACTTCCAACATTTCCACCAGACCAGCTTTGTTTCAAGTGTAGCTTCCTCATGACCCAAGCTAATCTTCTCAAAAACTGCTGCCTCCTCTTTCTCCAAAACCAGATCGCAGCCCCGTACTCCTCGTTCCGCACTTGTCTCGTGCTCGCTCTCCAGTCGAACTTCTCCACTTCTTTCCGCCCGGCGTCTCCAATCCTCTGCCGCAGCTCCTCGCAATCAAGCAAACTTCGCACCCTGTTCACGCACTCGTCCAAATCGCCAGGAGCATACAGGAATCCGGTCTCGCCACCCTCGCAGATAATGTCGGGAATGCCCCCCGCCCGAGCCGCAACCACGGGAACTCCGGAGGCCATTGCCTCGAGGACCACGAAGCCCAGCGTTTCCGACTCGGATGGCATCACGAACACGTCCGCACTGGCATAGGCTTGTGAGAGCTCTTCTCCTTGAAGCATTCCAGTGAAAACCACTGGCAAATCCGCGAACAATTCCTCCAAGTCCTTCCTGCAACGATGTGGACTCGCTAGAACAAGTTTAGCCATGAAATTCAGTGACTTACCTGGACGGTCCATCACCTACAAACGCAATCCTTGCGTCGGGTAGTCTCTGCATCACTCTAAAAGCACTGCAACGTGAGAAAACAGAAAACCGGTGGAAGTATTTCTTGACATACTTGTACAAGAACTCCAGGTTCTTCTCGACTCCCAGTCTTCCCACATAAATCGCTAGGCGACGCTCAGGTTCCCCACCGCTGAAAGTGATTTGCCAGTCAAGATCATGGAGATCGGAAGGAGAAAATGTACCGAAGCTTACGTGAGCCGGTTTCTCATAGCGTCACTTTTATATCGAGGATGGAATCTATCCGAGTCGACACCTTTGCGCCAAACACGAATCTTGTTGGCTGGAAAAGGATGGATTAGATGCAAACAAACATTGATTGCACTATACCTGTTGCTGCGCCAGCTGCTTTGAGCTCTTTTCCAAGAACACTGGAAGTTACCAGCGTAAGGTCTGCAGCTCGATGCAAGAATTCTGCACGACAGAAAAAGTTTTTTAAAAAAAATTAACATTTGATTTGGCTTGGGAAAGTGAAACTTTACTGATGATCAGCCACATTGGTTTGACGAGCCAGCTGAATGTGTACTTCGGTATATACCTGTTGATCAAACATTAACTTTGTAAAAGAAAAGCCAATAAGAGCTTACAAAGGGACATGAGTATGGTAGGACAACACAATAGGAATGTGGAGCAGCTTTGCAATCGCTAGAGCGCCGAAAACCTGCATCAAGAATTAAAATGTAGAAGAAAATCAAAACCATACCATTATTCCTGGAGAGGACGCATGAATTATATCGGGCTTGAAATGCGCAACTTCAGAGATGATGCGTGGGCTGAGAGCAAGCGACAGGGGAACGAGTTTGTAGAACGGGCAAGGAAAGCTTCACGAGAAAAGAGAAAAACACTTGTTTCAAAAGGAAAAAAAAAAGAAAAAACGTTTTTTCTTCGTAGAAATTGAGCATTACCTCCAGGAACCGATAACTTTGGCTCCATGAAACTCGGTGGGAACACCTTCGTGTGTCGTGATAATCAGCACCTGGAATTAAAGATTATAAACAGAACAAGAAGAAAAGCACGCAAAAGCACGAACCTCGTCCCCCATCTCTCTCAAATAGCGAATGAAATTCTGGAAGCGATTTTTATATCCAGAGACATAGCTGTGCCCAGCAAGACAATGAGAGAATGAGAGGAAAGAAATTGCTACTCACGCAAACGGAGACGGCTCCACGAAGAGAGCAATTCGGCGAGGCCCAATGGTACCAGTGTCCCGCTCCCGCCCCCGCTCCTCCACAGCATTGGCAACGGCATCCAGCTTCGACAATCTCCTCCTCCTCCTCTGCTTTCTCACCAAGCTCGGGCTCCAGAACGCAGCAGCACAGCTCTCCAGAGCACCACTTCTCGGCGGGGACAAGGCGAGAGGAAGAGACTGAAACGAGCAGCTGCTCGCGAGAGTGGATTGGAATGGAGAAAGCGGCGGCGGAGGTGGCAGAAGCGGTGGCGGAGGGAGCGGAAGGAATGGAGAGCAATGGAGAGGCACTCGAGTGCCCTGCATAGCTAGTGGCAGGCGCGGCCAAAAATCTCTTCTAGGGCGGAAGTGGAAGAACTACTAACTTTGAAAGAAGCACCAAGTGGATATTCCAAGGATCCCTGCCGGATATGCCCTCCTCAAATATCTCGAGAGTAGTACAACACTCGGAAGATCATCTCAGCCCACGCCAGATGAGATAGCAAGTCTGCCACAGCCCGCCATTCGCAAAGTGTGGAAGAATTATCCGTCCCCAGAAAGGATACGAGGGTCCGGGCATCTTGATCAATCCAAATCCAACGCCGATCACCACCAAGTGGAATGGAAATCCCTTCTGCAAGAGAACGAGGCGAGAAAAACTCGTCAAGTCAGTCGCTCGCAAGCGTGCACGTACCCGGAGACTTGGAGACACTTCTTTCGCAACCTCGTTCATGATCCCCGCGAGCGCAATCCCGAGGAGCATGGAGACTGGCACGAAGAGGGCCTTGCCATGGACGAGCGTGTAGGCGAGCTCGCTGGCGGAGGAGACGAGCAGCACAGGGATGGTGAGCCACTTGAGCGCCGTCCACACCAAGTCGGATAGCCTGGCGGCGAATCTCTTGGCGGCCACGTCCCACGGAAACGATCTGAGCGGGTCTTGTGGCTTTGATGCCGCTACCGCGCTCCTCGTCGCGGATTCCTCCCCAGTCTTACTCGCAGGCGACAAGGCGCGGGCGGAATCGCACCGCAGCAGTCTCCGATCCCTCCGCCATGCTAGAAATGTAGGAATCCTCACGCTCGTCCGCTGCAAGACGAAATCTCTCTGTGGCGATGGATCAAACAAATGCGGCTAGGTTTAAGCTCACCCCAGGCCCTGATGTAGACGACGCCGCCACCAGCGCCGCTCCGGATGCTACGGACGAGAGCCCCGAGAGCGCCATGGCAAGCCCTAGGTAGCTCTTTATTCAAGTAAACATGGAAATACAAGAAGACACATCAATGTTCTAGGAAGGTGAGCGGATCTAGGATAAGTTAAGGCTTCCATAGCATAGTGGTATTGCGCTCGCTTCGTAAGCGAGAGGTCGTGAGTTCGATCCTCACTGGGAGCAAATCTTTAAAGTAAGCTTTGTTTGCCTTTAATTTTGAAAAAGAATAAGCCTTAAAAATGAGGTCGACTTTTTGACGCTTTCCTTTCGTATAAAGAATAAGCCCTAAAATGGCACACGGTCAATTTTGACGGTAGGCAATGTAGTCGGCCAGCGCGAGCAGTGGCGCCGCCCTCGACTCCCCAAACGCCGCCAGCTGCTGCTTGGCCTCCGCCAGGAGCTCCTCCGCGTAGTCGCGCGCCCCTTGCAAGCCCAGCAGCTTGGGATACGTGGTCTTGTCCGAGATCAAGTCCTTGCCCGCCGTCTTGCCCAGCTCCTGCGAGCTCTTGGTCACGTCCAGGATGTCGTCCACCACCTGGAACAGCAGCCCCACCGCCTGCGAGTAGCTCCGCACCCTGCCCACCTCCTCCTCGCTCGCGCCGCCCGCGATGGCGCCGCACACGCCCGCCGCCTCGAGCAGCTTGCCGGTCTTGTGGATGTGGATGTAGCGCAGCATGTCCAGGTCCACGCCCTCCTTGCCCTCGCAGGCGATGTCCACGATCTGGCCGGCCACCAGGCCCTGCGATCCCACCGCGCTGCCCAGCTCCGACACGATGCGCACCACTCGCTCCGCCGGCACGCCCGCGCTGCACCGCGCGATGTGCTCGAACGCGAGCGAGAGCATCGCGTCGCCCGCCAGCACCGCCGTGTCCTCGCCAAACGCCTTGTGGCAAGTGGGCTTGCCGCGGCGGAGATCGTCGTTGTCCATGCACGGGAGATCGTCGTGGATGAGGCTCATGGTGTGGATCATCTCCATGGCTATGGCGGACGGCATGGCCGCCTCCTGGGTGCCGCCGGGGATCATCTCGCTGGCGGCGATGCACAGGATGGGCCGCACGCGCTTGCCGCCCGCCAGCAGCGAGTAGCGCATGGCCTCGTGGATCTTGTCCGGGTAGCGCATCGGCAGCGCCTCGTCCAGCGCCGCGTTCACGGCCACGCCCTTGAATTGCAAGTAGGATTGGAGATCGAAGGAGGATTCACCTGTGCAGCTGTTCTTGACGTCCTGGAGCGTCCGCGACGCGGGGGTCGCCAGCATTCTCCATCTCGGCGGCGGCGAGAACTTCATGGGGCGCGAGCTGCCTGGAAAAGCCACCATGCCCTTGGCGAATTTGTGGTGGGAGGACGACTCATGGGGATTTCCGAGCTGCGTGCTAGGGTGGTGTGAGCAGCACAAGACCGCCATAGCTATAATCCTTGCGGATGATAGAGAGATAGAGAGATAGATGGGATAGATGGATACCCCCTTGTCCTCCGCTGCTTTTTTGCTTAAATTGCTCTCCTGGGCCCTGGCGCTTGGCTTGCAGCTCACTCGAGATTCCCCTCCACATATATTCTCGCCTTTTAACAGTGGAGCTGGAGTGGAACGAACTCGTCCGCCACACAGTCAACGTTGTCACCGGAAGCTAACAAACATTCGTCCATGCCAACTTTGAATCGCAGTGTGCACGATGACTGCGTAGCGAAATCTTTTTTATTCGCTTGCCACAGATGTCAACAGTCGACACTTCGTTTCGAGACGAATGCGCCCTCTTGGCTTCTCTGCTTAGAAAATGCGCGCGGGCCAAGGATCTAGCACAAGGCACTCTCGTTCACGGCCGAATTGCAGCATCGCACCACCACTCTCGAAACAGATACCTCGGCAATCTCATCGTTCAGATGTATGGGAGCTGTGGGAGCATTCAGCGCGCGGTGGCGGCCTTCGAGAGCATAGACAGGCCTAATGTTTTTTCGTGGACTGTCATGATCACCGCATATGCCCAAAATGGGTATCTTGTCGAAGCTCGAGAGCTCTTTGATACGATGCCAGACAAGGATGTAGTGGTGTGGAATGTGATGCTGAAGATCTACTCTCAAAACGGTCTCATGTTTAAAGCTCGGGAAATCTTTGACGCAATGCCGCAGCGGGACGTCGTGTCTTGGACTGCTCTTGTTTCTGGACATGCCCGAAACGGGCATATGGAAAGAGCTTGCAGTGTCTTCGCCAGGATGCCAATGAAGAATCTGGTCTCCTGGAACACCGTCATAACGGTTTATGCGCAGCTCAGGGACTTGGATAGATGCAAGGCGGTCTTTGATCAGATGCCCGAGAGAGATGCCGTGTCTTGGAATGCATTGATCTCGGCATATGCCCAAAACGGGCATATCGAGCAAGCAAACAAGCTCTTTGATTCAATGCCTTTCAGAAAGGATATAGCCTCTTGGAATGTGATGCTTGCTGCGTATGGTGGACAGGAAATGACCGGGGCTGCGTTTCGGCTACTGGCGTCAATGGATTTGGAAGGCACCGTGCAAGCCGACAGAATGACATTCGTCGCAGTTCTCCAGGCCGCCGCCAGTGCTGAAATGTTTGTTCGTCTTGCCCACGATGAGATCACACTCAGGGGGATGGAGTCCGACACGATGTTGACCGCAGCTCTCGTTAGCGCTTATGCACGGTGTGACTTGAGCGAACGAGCTAAAGACGTGTTCGATAGAGCGGCACACAAGAACACAGTGTCGTGGACTGCTATGATCGCAACTTACACCCGGGCTGGACGATTCAAGGATGCTGTGCGACTCTTTAGCGTCATGGACCTGGAAGGAGTTCCTGTAGACGGTGTCGCCGTCGTAGCAGCTCTCGAGGCTTTTGGAAGATTGGGAGAACTGGAAGCGTGTAGGATCTTTCACCATTCCATCGTCAATGGCATGGAGATTGGAGGAGGAGTCGCTGTAGGCAACGGACTCGTGAGCATGTATGCAAAGTGTGGAAGCATGGAAGCGGCTAGAAGCGTGTTCGACGGAATGAGGAAACGCGACATAGTCACTTGGAATGCTGCGGTCGCAGGGTATGCAAAGAACGGCCAAGCAAGCCAAGCTTTCGAGCTTTTCAGGACACTGGAGCTGGAGAGTATCCACCAGCCAAACGGGGCAACTTTCAGTGCTCTTCTGCTGGCTTGCAGCCACGGAGGCTTCTCAGAGGACGGCTGCCAGTACTTTGGCGGCATGAAGCACGACTATGGAGTTTCTCCTGCCGTCGAGCACTGCATTTCCATGGTGGATCTCCTGGGTCGCTTGGGCCTGCTGGAACAGGCGGAGGAACTGCTTCTAAACTCCGTCGAGTGCGAGAGGGATGGCTGGATTTCTTTGATCAGTGCTTGCAAACTTCACAAAGATGCCAAGCTCGCAGCAAAAGCCGCTGGCGTCCATGTCATGCCGGAGTCGGACGGTGCCCGTTTCGTGCTGATGCAAAACACGCTCAAAATGGATGCAACCAGCTAGGAAGGAGCGTTGCAAAAATCTTCCATGGCGGTGGAGTCCATCCCTCTTGTCACTCATACAAGTGGTGCATTTCCTGGATGAGAAAATGCGATGAGAAATGAATGGATATGATCCAAAAGGGCTGTGGGCTTTTTAACGGGGTCTACGTGGACATGTTTTGCCCAGAAAGTGTGGCTCTTTTTCACTGCCAACATGGAGGTAGCAGCAACACCGGCAATTGGAAGCAGTGCCAGGCTCCGAAATGTTCCTCCACACTCGATCAGTGGTCGGACGAGGAAAAGGAGCTGTGTGATCTGCCGGGTCGCTACAGCTCCGCTCAGAATCAAGTCGGGTCTCAATGGCTCTGCCACTGCTTTCCCCTCGACCGAAGCACTCGAGGAGCTGGACTTGGAGCGAGGAGCTTGCAATCTCTTGAGAAAGTACACACCGGAACTGGTAAGTCTCGAGATCGCGGACTCTTTCTTCCTTACGCCTAGTGTTTGGAGCAAACAGGTTCGCCAAAGAGTGCTTGAGTCGAGGGAGTCATTTGCCTCCGTTGTTGGGCGATGCGTGGAGATCATATGGAGGCTCGGACTGTACTGGGCGAGCCTTTCCTACGATTGTCTGGTTGGAAGAGACGACGAAATGGTGCCCGTTCGTGCTGCACAGCTCAGGACTTTGCTCTGCGATCTAGGACCCTCGTTTGTAAAGGCTGGACAGGTATGAAGAATTTCTTGCGTGTTTCATGGATTTTGAAACTCGGTTGTTTTGCAGGTTCTTGCGAACAGGCCCGATATCGTTCGACAGGATTACATGAACGAGTTGTGCACACTCCAGGATGACGTTCCATCGTTCCCAAACCAGGTCTTGCTATTAAGCTTGTTTCGTATTGGTTTTCATTTTCTTCTCCCAGATTGCATTCAGCATCATCGAGAGCGACCTTAACATGCCTCTGGAGAAAGCTTTCCGGAAAATCTCGGCACAGCCAGTTGCCGCAGCTAGCCTTGGTCAAGTATACCGAGCAACGCTTCTTTCTGGAGAGGAAGTCGCCGTCAAGGTACTCGCTTCCTTTCTTAAACTTTCTCGCTTACATCTTTCTCCACTGCTGGTTTGTAGGTCCAGAGACCTGGCATCGAGCCTATAATTTACAGAGATTTGTTTCTGTTTAGAACCCTTGCATCTTTCTTGAACGGCATTAGCACAAAGAAGCTTGGATGTAATGCTGAGTTGATTGTCGACGAGTTTGGAGAGAAGCTGCTAGAAGAGCTCGACTACACTCTTGTAAGTTAAATCCTTCCCCGTCTTCTTCTTGATTGCTAATTCTTGAAATCTTTTTCCTGAGACAGGAAGCACGAAACCTTGAGGACTTCTACAAGAACTTTAAGAATGATCTGACCGTGAAGATCCCTCTCGTGTACAAGAGCTTCTCCGGCTCTCGTGTTTTGGTGATGGAGTGGATTGACGGAATTCGCTGCACTGATCCTCAGGTTCGTCATTTAGTTGTTTGTAGAGATTCTCGACCTCACGCTTATATGTTGCGCCTCTCCAGGCTATAACTGATGCTGGTATCGACGTGCCAGCCTTTATCACTGTTGGTGTGAGCGCAGCTCTAAGGCAGCTTCTTGAGTTTGGTCTTTTTCATGGCGATCCTCACCCCGGAAACATTTTTGCAATGCGTGATGGCCGCATTGCTTACGTTGATTTTGGCAATGTAGCACAGCTCACACAGGTATCTTTTTCGCAGAGACACTTTATTATATCCTGCTTACAGGCCGTCGTTCATGCAGAGAAATAAGCAAATTCTCATTGATGCGGTCGTTCACGCCGTTAACGAAGACTACGTGGAAATGGCCAACGATTTCTCTAGACTTGGATTTCTTGCACCGGGAACGGACATAACACCTATTGTTCCAGCTCTGGAGGCGATCTGGGGAAACTCAATGGGGAAGGGTCTTGCGGATTTTAACTTCCGCATTGTTACAAGTATGCAAGCTGTTCTTCTCGTGATTCTTGATGTGGTTCTTTTGCTTTTGTTCACAGAACAATTCAATGAGCTTGTGTACCAGTATCCTATTCGTATACCTGAGAAGTATTCGCTAGTCATCCGCTCGCTACTAACACAGGAAGGAATTTGTTTGACGCTCCAGCCAGATTTTAAGTTTCTCGAGGTAAGCTTCTCTTCACTTTTTCTATCTTCAACTCACACGCAACAAAAAAAAAATTCCCTCAGGTAGCTTATCCATACGTAGCAAAGAGACTCTTGACTGATCCCGAGCCATACCTGCGGGAGAGATTGCTGCAAGTAAGAAAATCTCATCTCTAGATTTTTGCGAGATTCTAAAGTAACTCTCACATTTGTTATCTAGGTGCTGTTCAAGGATGGCATGTTTCAGTGGAACCGGCTGGAGAACTTGATCATGCTTGCCAGAGAGCAAGTAGCGATGATGAGTCGCAACCCTAGCGTCCGAAGTCAAAAGCAAGGTCACTTTTTTTCCATCGGATTAGAAGCTCAATGTTTTGTGCTGCTGCAGGTCTGCCACGGCTTCTCAAGGCCAGGTTCCCAAGCTCGATCTCACAGACACCATCAAAGACGGTGTGAGAGTTGTCATCACCGATCCCGAAATCCGGCGCCAGCTCCTATTGGCTTTCACCGAGGACTCGAGGCTTCATGTTGACGAAGTGAGTGATGCTCTCTCTACTCACGATGGAGTGGAGTTCCTGAATAATGAGATTTGGGTTGCTGCAGGTTCTGGACGTCTACCGGCTGGTCGAGAAAGATTTGGATCCAGCTGCATTGGCTCTCGATGTCTTGCAAGGTTTGTGATCTCTCCATCAACATAAAGTAGCTATTGATATTTGTTTCTTATCTTCTGAGCAGGAATCCCTGCGGCTGCTCGGGATTTCATCCTGTCTTGGAGCAATGCAGTGCTTGCGGATCAGTGAAAGCAAGAGAAGAAGATAGAGCCGGTTATGTAATTTTCCAGTAAATAGAGGGGGGGTTTTTGTTAGGGTTCTTGAGAGTTATGAAGTTTGTGATCGAGGGGCTCACCGTCTACTTCCCCTATGAGTTCATCTATCGCGAGCAGTATGCGTACATGGTGGAGCTCAAGCACGCGCTCGACGCCCGCGGCCATTGCCTCCTGGAGATGCCGACGGGCACGGGTAAGACGATCACGCTCCTCTCCCTCATCACCAGCTACCAGCTCGCCAATCCCTCGCTCGCCAAGCTCATCTACTGCACGCGCACCGTGCACGAGATGGAGAAGGTGCTGGACGAGCTCCGCCGCCTCCACCTCTACCAGGAGAAGGAGATTGGCAGCAGCCGGGCCAAGATCCTGGCGCTGGGCTTGAGCTCCCGGAAGAACCTGTGCATCCATCCCGTGGTGAGCGGCGAGACCTCCAGGGAGAGCGTCGACGCCGGCTGCCGAAAGTTGACGGCGTCGTGGGTGAGAGCCGCCGCCGAGACCAACCTCGACATTGAGACGTGCTCCTTCTACCAGGGATATGAGAAGCAAGGCAGCGAGCAGCCATTGCCTCCCGGCGTCTACACTCTTCACGACCTCCGAGTGTATGGCAGGCAGCGGGGCTGGTGTCCATACTTTCTGGCCAGGCAGATGATCCAGTTTGCGAATGTGGTGGTGTACAACTATCAGTACCTCCTCGACCCCAAGGTGTCGGGGATCATCTCCAAGGAGATGCAAAAGGAGTGCATCGTCGTCTTTGACGAGGCTCATAACATTGACAACGTTTGCATCGAGGCGCTCAGCGTCAACTTGCGGCAAAACAATCTCGATGGCGCCAGCAGGAACATACACAAGCTCAACCAAATCATCTCCAGGTTTTTCTTCTTTTTCCGTTTTTTCCCTGTGAAACCATGTTTATCTTGTCGTGTCTTCCAGATTCAAGGAAACCGATGCCAACCGTCTGCGGCAGGAGTATAACAGGCTCGTAGAAGGTCTGGCGCAGCAAGGAAATCTCCATGGTAATGTTGGAAACAACGAAGTTTGCTAAAGGCTCCTTTCTTGCTTCGCTCGTTCTTTAGGTTCGGATAATTGGCTTGCCAACCCCGTTCTCCCAGAAGACATTCTGCGTGAGGCTGTGCCCGGGAACATACGACGAGCAGAACACTTCGTAGCGTTTTTACAGAGAGCGGTACAATACCTCCGCGAGCGGCTGGACACGGACACGGTAGTGAAAGAGGGTCCTGTTTCTTTCACGACTACGATGAGCACTGCAGCGGGGCTGGACCAGAAAGCGCTCAAGTTTTGCTACGACCGCTTGCACTCCCTTTTGCTGACGCTGGAGGTGACCGAGATTGACGAGTTCCTGCATGTACAAACCGTCTGCAACTTCCTTACTCTCGTTGGCACCTACACTCGCGGTTTCTCCATCATCATCGAACCTTATGACGAGCGTATGCCTCATATTCCAGATCCAGTCTTGCAAGTACGTGTTTTCCTGCTTCGTTTTTTTCCGATCATTCGGACCAAACGCCTCGGTTTGTTTGGTTGCAGCTAAGCTGTCTAGATGCGTCTCTCGCCATCAAACCCGTGTTTGACCGTTTTCAGTCCGTGGTAATAACTTCAGGAACGTTAAGTCCCATCGATCTCTACCCGCGGTTGCTTAACTTTAACCCGGTCATTATCCACAGTTTCACAATGACTCTAACAAGGGACTGCTTGTGTCCGATGATCCTCGCGCGAGGAAGGTACTATTTTGTTTTCACTGTCGTGAGTATCTCACAGGACTTGTTTACAGTGATCAACTTCCGGTGAGTTCAAAGTTTGATATGCGGAGCGACCCTGGTGTGGTCCGAAATTATGGACGCCTCTTGCTCGAAATGGTGGCCACTGTCCCGGATGGAGTGGTATGTTTCTTTGTAAGTTATTCATACATGGACGGGATAATCAACAGCTGGAATGAGATGGGAATCTTACAGGTGAGATTTTTCAGGTTATTGGCATTCCTGTACGTGCAAGTGCTGGTTTCAGGAGGTTATGCAACATAAGTTGGTGTTCATAGAAACGCAAGACTATGTTGAAACTACTTTGGCCTTGGAGAACTTCCGTCAAGCCTGTGATTGTGGCCGTGGAGCCGTATTTTTCTCAGTCGCTAGGTTTGTTAGCTTTTCTGGCATCTTTTACTTGGCAAAAACATTGTTCTATGTAGGGGGAAAGTTGCAGAAGGTATTGACTTCGATCGACATTATGGTCGCCTTGTCATAATGTTTGGGGTGCCGTTTCAGTATACACTGAGCAAGTAAGTTGTACACGCATATCCAAAACGATGAATCTCCCTCTTTTCGATTCCCAGAATATTGAATGCGCGCCTGGAGTATTTGCGAGATACATTTCAGATAAAGGAGGGAGACTTTCTCACCTTCGATGCTGTGGCAAGTTCTTTACGTTCTGTTCTCCGCTTATTCGTTTACCTGTACCAGAGACAAGCTGCTCAATGCGTAGGCCGTGTCATTCGCTCAAAAGCAGATTACGGAATGATGATATTTGCAGACAAGAGGTTATCCCCTGTCGTTTCTTTTTCTTTTTTCCTTTTCTTTTTTCTAATTTTGTTGACATTGAAACAGGTATAACCTTCCTAACAAACGAAACAAGTTGCCGCAGTGGATTCAATCTCAGCTACGGGAAGAGCACCTAAACCTGAGTACTGATATGGCAGTCCACATTGCCCGAGAAGTACAGAAAATATTATCAAAGCGTGGGTTGAATGCTTTTCATTTTACAGTTTTTGCGGCGGATGGCTCAACCATCAGACCCTCAGGTCAGCAAATCAACACTGCTGTCACAAGAAGATCTGGAGAAGATGGCTGCGATGCCAAACTTCTAGCTTCCAACCAGGTTTCTTCGGATCTTGTTAGTATCAGTCTATTTTGATGTTTTGACTGGTATTCACGTCAGTCTTTTCTTCCCAAGGCAAAAACGTTGGGGCTGCGGACCAGGACAGAAACCAAATGGTTTGAAAGGAAGCGAGCGAGCGAGGCTTCTTGAAGCCTGCAAAGCGTACGTTATGTCCTTCCACCATACATCATTGTCAAGCGTCGCCTGGTCACGAGAAGGATTTTTTACAATGCTCTTTCCGTACACAACTCTCGTCGATCGCCTCAGGCAGTATCTGTCGGCTAATGTGGAGTTCGGCCAGAACATGGGCCAGAACGTCTATGCTCGAGTCACGCTTTCCATTATCGGGGGTGTGCTAGGAGCCACCGAGGTCGTCAACTCAGCAAGGGACGTGTGATCGAATTTATGGACGAGGTCAGGGTCGGACGGATTGGTAACCATTGCACTGCGATACGTTGGACTTCGCCACGAGACGCTCGAGCCCGAGCCCGACGAGAACAATGCCGATCTCCTCGTCATCAAAGAGTAGATTTGGGATAGATTCAAGCCACATGTTGACGATGATAGGCACGACTGCTAGATCTACATGACGACCCTGGTGAGTAGCTTCATGAGAGGTAAAGTTCCAGCATCGTATCTTAGTAGTGGCAACAGCATCACTTCTGTCAGTGGAGGGTTCCGATTGACAATGCAAACAGATACTTAGGGTTGTAAGGAGATCTGACATACACCGGCACGACAAGGACTGTTACGTGATCATGTACAGGGACGGGGATAGTATCATCTGGTGCCGTGTGGGATACCAAGTCCTACCCAAGGCGTATGTTCTCGGGGTTTCCAACGAAGGGTACGTTGCAATCTATAGAACGACGCTTGTGGCAGTCAAACTAACCAGTCTCTATTATATCAACTCAATACTGACGGCACAACACCAACTTCCTCCACTGGGAAGTCTTAGCCTGATGGCGAATTCTACGACCCTCGTTGCATGCACACCAGACACACATTAGAATTCCGCTACACGCTCACAGCCTTGAAATCAAGGAAATTTTGCTGGCATCAGACTTGGAGAACAGAACTTGGCATTCTTGGCTGCGAGAATTAGAGTGCTGGAACGAGATATCAGGTGCTACTTTTCTTTCCAAGTTCATTCAGGAGGCTATGCAACATAAGTTGGTGTTCATCGAAATGCAGGAAACTACTTTAGGTAGAAGGTATTGACTTTGATCAACAACTTGTTATAATGTTCGCTGAGCAAGTAATATCAGAAATGCGCAGCCATTTCAGCCTTTCCACTAGAAAGTTTAAGGAATAGCTGCAAAAAAAAGTGTTTTTTTTTGCTGTAAGGTTACCTCAAATATTCTTTAATTTATTTTGCAGGAGTCCCAACAGAACGTTTTGCTAGCCAGGTTTTCCACTCCAAAATGATACAAAATTTGAGCTTGTTAATCTTAAATACTTTCATGTTCTTGGATGTAACTGCAAAACACTGAGAGGCATTGGATTGCTGTATATAATATATGGTTTGAGATGAAAAGAAAAAGATATGGAAATGTATAATAATACAATGTGTTGTATTTGAATAAAAAAAGCTAGTTATGTGAGGTCCAAGTGTATAACTATAATGTTATATATTAATATTAGTTGTGCAGCATTTAATTGGTAGTTTAGCAGCAAACTGTTAGACCTTCCCTTTGGTATAAATAGGGATAAAATAGTTTTTCTTATAAAGTGATTATCCCTTTATTAGTTGGGTTAAAATGAGAGAGATAAGCTGCATTACATATGGTATCAAAGCAAATGGCACAAGTTATTTAAATTATAATATACCTTTGAGTAAGGTATATTTTTACCTCTAAAATTGAAATTGTATGTATTGGGCATTAATTCATTTGTTGATCTTGTTCTTATCTTAAATTATTAAGTGATCTTGAAATTTTGATTGAAGTGATTTTAACTGTAAGCAACTAATTTTTCCATTATACTTTAATCACTTAATCACACCTTTGACCACTTGGAAAAGTCTCACTCACAACCTCCATAAATTCTATTTCTAACTTGAGAACTTAATACTCCCGTGAATGGCCTCTATACCACTTTACCTTTATACTTGGTCCAAATGCTTTACATGTCTAATCCTAAAACAAACACACAAAGATATTATAAATAGATCAACCCATTACACTAAGGCTATATCCACACTTTCGTTTCATGGTAGTCCAAGACCACCTATACTACAAACCCATCTCCTATGGACTAGGCCATCCGTCTATGAATGGTTATCCCTTGATAACCCTTAGGATGCTTGGAGATATGAGAACACTCTTCCCTAATATCCCTTCTTTAGTCCTCATTAAGTCTCATTTTGTTCACAGCAATGCTTGCCAACACTATGTAAACAACTAATTTTTCCATTCTACTTTAATCATTTAGCCACACTTTTGATCACTTAGAGGAGTCTCACTCACAACCTCCTTAAATCCTATTCCGGACTTAGGAACTTGTTAGTCCCAAGAATGGCCCCTATGCCACTCAACCTTTGCACTTGGTCCAAGTGCTCCACGTGTCTAGTCCCATGACCGAAACCCCAAAGTACCACTAACATACCAGCCCGTTACACTAAGGCCATGCCCATTCCCCTTGGTTACACCGGTGGTCCAACACCACTTGCACCACAATCCCGTCTTTCACAAACTGGGTTATCTGTCCACGAGTGGTCATCCCAGTGTAAGCAACTAAATTTTTCCATTCTACTTTAGTCACTTAACCACACCTCTGACCACTTGGAGGAGTCTCATTCACAACCTCCATAAGTCCCATTCAAGACTTGGGGCTTGCTAGCCCCAAGAATGGCATCTATGCCACTCAACCTTTGCACTTGGTCCAAGTGTTCCACGTGTCCGATCCTATGACCAACACCCCACGGTACCACCGACATATGAGCCCGTTACACTAGGCCACGCTCATTCACCTTGGTCACATCAATGGTCTAATGCCACCTACCTTGCAATCCCATCTCTCCAAAACTAGGCCATTCGCCCATGAGTGGTCATCCCAAATCCACTCCTTAGCATCCTTAGGATGCCTGCAGACATGGGGAATAACCTTCCCCAATATCTTCATTCCGGTCTCCACCAAGTCCTTTTTTGTCCTTGGCCATATTCGCAACACAGCCACTGGATCAAGGCCCACAGGCCCGACCACTAAATCCCACTGTCCTCTAGGACTTCCTCACTGTGTGACTGTGTCCTTGGTCACCACACCAAAGGGCTACTCCTCTTCCTTTCCACAGATTGGGACTTTGGGACAACATTTCGGACGCGGGCCTCGTGGGTACTCTTCCTGCTTTCCACCTTTAGGTGCTCTAGCCATGGGCTTAGAGCGAGGTTCCGTTAAGCCACGCTTGGTATCCAAGTAGGTAGTGCCACCCACACTTGGATTGGGAGCATCGGCCAGTTGATCTCCCAGGGGAACTAGAGCCGACTCTTGAACACTTCACCAAGCTACCCCGCTTGTCAATCCGTATTCACTCTAGTCTTGGACTTCCTAGTGGGCAACTCATCACCCAACACTAAGTACAGCCTTCCTAGGCCAAATTGGCCTTTCCTGGCCAAACTGGCTCCATTGCAGTCCTCCCCCTACTATACTTTTGGAGCTCACTAAACCCCCTAGGGTCTGGGAGACAAATGTTTTGGGCTTTCACCCTCTCAGACTCGCACTTAGACTTGGACTTAGACTCGGACTCGGACTCGGACTCGGACTCGGGCTCGGGCTCGATCTCGGCCTTGGCCTCGGTCTCGGTCTTGGTCCCAGTCTCGGTCCCGGTCTCAGTCTCGGTCCCGGTCTCGGTCTTGACGTCAGACTCCAACTTGGGTCCTTTTCGGACTCCATCTCGGACTCCGTCTCGGTCCATCTTGGACTCCATCTTGGGTCCATCTCGGACTCCATCTCGGACTCTATCTCGGTCCATCTCAGACTCCATCTTGGACTCCGTCTTGGTCCATCTCGGACTCCGTCTCGGTCCATCTCAGACTCCATCTTGGGTCCATCTCAGACTCCATCTCGGACTCCTTCTCGGACTCCATCTGGGTCCATCTCATACTCTGTCTCGGTCCATCTCGGACTCCATCTTGGTCCTTCTCGGACTCCGTCTCGGACCATCTCAGACTCCATCTGGGGTCCATCTCGGACTCCATCTCAGACTCCTTCTCGGACTCCATCTCGGGTCCATCTTGGACTCCATCTTAGGCACTCCCACGTGTCATGTGTTTGTCCTTTTGGGTCCCTTTTTTAGAGCTTTGCTTATTGCTCGCTTCATGCTCATTCCTCGAGCACTTTGTTGGGAGTTCCATTCCCGCTCTTGACTTATCAAGTCAGAGCTTTTAGTCCAAATGTGTTACGCTTGTTTGGCTTTTGCTTCGGCCACTACCACATGGCGCCCTTCCGGCTCCACTTTGTGGCCTAGGGATTTTGTGTCTCACAACTCCACCACCTATAGACAAAGTTCGATGTCCTCATCGAACGGTAAACCCTTTTATAAAGTAATACCCACAAGTATTACCATTTCCATCCTTGGCACCCAGCCAATATTTGTCTATGGTTTGACCCCGAAGGCACACCATGCCTTGTCCATCCTCTAAGGAGCGTAGTCTCTCCAACATAGAGACTCACTCGACCACCTAGGGTGGTTTACTCCCTTTTATTGGTTCAGTTCTTACTAAACCCGTTAGAGACACCCTCTCTAACTCAATTCTACTACTCATTCTCGAGTAATCTCAGATTCCATTGACATAACCTTTGCACTTTGGAACTTTTAATCTTGACTTCTCTGAGTCAATTTCTTAGGTGTCCCCGACACCTTACGTTGCACATGGTGCAACTCCACTTCCCTATCCTAGAAAGTTCTTTACTTGAGGGTACCATCATCCTTTCTTCGATATCGTGCCACCTTTGGGCACTAAGTTCCAGTTATCATAATTGGTGCTAGGGCTGCCCATGGCCTATTATTTGGCTACCTTACCGCTCCCCCCTTTAGAGCATCCACTTTCGCCAAATTGGAGAAGTTGGGAATCCATCCTTGGGGAAATATTGCCCTTCCCACAATCTGTTAGCACCCAACACATTAGTGTTCTCGGCCTAACTTTACCATTTGGATTTGGAAGCCTAAACCCTAAACCCTAAACCCTAACCTAAACTGTAAACTCTAACTTTGCCATTTGGATTCTTTCCCATGATTCCCATGGCTTTTTTATTAGCCACTAGTCTTTTGCTCTTATCCTTGATTGTTGCACTGCCACTGGGTCAAGGCTCACATGCCCGACTACTAAGTCCCACTGTCCTCTAGGACTTCCTCACTGTGTGACTGTGTCTTTAGTCACCACACCAGAGGGCTACTCTTCTTCCTTTCCACAGATTGGGACTTTGGGACAACATTTCGGAACACCGTGGCCCTACGTGGGCCTCGTGGGTACTCTTCCTGCTTTCTGCCTTTAGGTGCTCTAGCCATGGGCTTAGAGCGAGGTTTCATTGAGCCACGCCTAGTATCCAAGTAGGTAGTGCCACCCATACTTGGATTGGGAGCATCGGCCAGTCGATCTCCCGGGGGAACTAGAGCCGACTCTTGAACACTTCACCAAGCTACCCCACTTGTTAGTCCGTGTTCACTTTAGTTTTGGACTTCCCAGTGGGCAACTCATCACCCAACACTGGGTACA